ATATCTATATGGTCCGTTTCCCAGAACACGCGTCCTTGGTGTAATGGAGAAGGGGAACCAGATGCCTATCTCCTTTCACATGCAAAGTTTGTTCCTGCGCGGGAGAGTGTTGGGGGGGGGGGGGGTGTTGGGGGGTGCGTGTGTGTGTGTGGTGCGGGGAGCGGTGGCGCATCGGTTAGCGCGCTGCGCTACGAACCCGGCGAGCCGATGTCGATTCACGCTCACGGCCACAAACACCGCTGACGATTATCTGATGCCGGTGATGGGTCCTCCTCTAGGTCGACTCAGCCTCAAATGAGTACCAGGTGTGTGGGTGTGGAAACATCGCCACTGGGGGAGACAAAGGCGGCCGGGCGTGGTGTGAATCACGGCTCGCTGGAAGAGGTGGGTGGGGTGAATCGTCGCCACCCCTGTGGGTTGGCAGTCATCACGGTCGCAGAGAGTCCCAGGGGTTGGAAATGTCACGGGGAAGTGGGTGCCCCGGGCAGCTCCTGTCAGAGAAGCCACGTGACTTCCTCGTGCTTGCTTGGCCACGCGGTCGTTGAACCGACGGTGACGTCAGAATCGCGATTGGGTTGCGAGCAATGACGGATTATCCTCGTAGCAAAAGTAGCTGCTACACATGTAGAAGCTACTACATGTGTAGCTACTACATATGTAGTAGCTACAGAGAGTGAGATGAGAGGGGAGATGTAGGAGAGTTCGTGGAGGGGAGTAGAGTGAGATGAGAGGGGAGAGAGGAGAGTGCGTGGAGGGGAGTAGAGTGAGATGAGAGGGGAGAGGCAGGAGAGTGTGTGGAGGGGAGTAGAGTGAGATGAGAGGGGAGAGGCAGGAGAGTGCGTAGAGGGGAGTAGAGTGAGATGAGAGGGGAGAGGCAGGAGAGTGTGTGGAGGGGAGTAGAGTGAGATGAGAGGGGAGAGGCAGGAGAGTTCGTGGAGGGGAGTAGAGTAAGATGAGAGGGGAGAGACAGGAGAGTGCGTGGAGGGGAGAAAAGTGAGATGAGAGATGAAGAACAGTAGATGTGTGTTGGTATAATAGGTCGCTGTGTCGGAGTGTGATTGATGTTTTCAACAAAGTAAACTCTTTTTTCTTTAAATAGTTCACATTGTCTTTATATTCCATCTACCTTATTCTCCGAATTATAAGACACGCCCCACCCTCCCTGTATTTTTTTAGAGCAAAGCAAACGTGAGTAGAGCAAAGCAAACATGAGCGCGGCTTACAATCCGGTAGGGGTGCGTCATGCGTGTGGGGGGGGCGAGATGTGTAACTGTACCCGTATTGACACCTATAGCGCTTGAACCTTCCAGAGTGTCTTATAACCCACAGAACACGTGCTGTAAATGCTTCATGTTTCAGGGCAGTGCTGTTGATGGATGAGTCGTTGGTTATTTCAATAAAAATAATAAAATAAAACATAATAAAATAATTCTGACCAGGTCTCCCCGACAGACCTGGTCTTCACCTGATGACGGCTGCTTGCGTTGTGGCCGAAACGTCGTGAGAATTAGTTTATTATGTTATATTTTATTATTATTTTTGTTTCCATTCTACGTGACTTTACCGAAAGAACCAAATAAGATGAATCCCTGCAGTCACGAAAGCTTTAAATCGAAATTCGTTGGTTATTGCCAATGACCTCCTCCCACAGCATTGCACCCTGGAGCTGCCCCAGACACCTCGGCTGTCCGGAGGAAGAGTTCACTTCAACAATTTCGCACCGCGTGCCACGCGCAACGTGGTGCCGTTCAAAGGTAATGTTCGCCCTCAAGGCAGCGCGTCCCGTCTGCTGGCCTTCAACGCAACTGCATACGTTGCTTGTTTTGCCAATACGACATCGTCAGCAGCAGCGTCAGCAGCAGCAGCCACGGATCGATCCACTGCTGGATGAAGGCCTCACCCGCAGCCCTTCCCGTTCCTGCGGATGCCGCGATCCATCTCGTTCTTCCAGCACATCGAGCTCGTCTCATCGAACCGGCCCTTCTCCGCGTGGTGATCGCGTACTCTTTGGAGGGGGGGGGGGGAGGGGGAGGGTGTGTGGGGGTATTTCCCTCCTTCGACTGCCACTCCGTCACCAGACTCGACCATCATCTCGCGGCGACAGTTGCTCGTTCATTCGTCACGCGCAGTCAGCGAAGGTCACCGTCGCGACAAGCGCGCGTCTTGACCTCTTGCGGCGACGGCGTTCGCACAGACGGCGAATTGTTTGATCCACGGATCACGGGGGGGGGGGGGGTGGCAGGGGGGGGGGCAGTGCTGGATTATCCATCTGGGCAAAAGTAGCTACATATGTAGTAGCTACTACACATGTAGTAGCTTGAAAGCATTTAGCGCGGGGCCCTTGAAAGTGCGGGGCCCGTAGCTACGACATGTGTTGAACCAGTGGTCAGGATTTATACAAAGACAAACATCCCCCGAGTAGCCTTAACAGAATCTTTGGGGGCAAATGCCCTTGCGAATTATGCAACTCGCCCACCCACACTTACTCGAATTGGCACTCAAACGAAAACTGGTAAATTCACATTTTAAAATGTTGATCACACTCCTGGACACTGACCGAAAATAAGCGTACACGCTTATACTGAAGAATCTCACACACACACACACACACCCTCCAATACACAAAGATCACCCGTAGAGGCTTTAACAGACTTTGAGGCAAGTGCTGTTCGCGAGCACACGACGAGGAGGTGGGTAACACATTTAGCATTCTCAGGAAGAACGTAATCAACCAGGTAGGGTGTTGACTGTTATGTTATCCGACTCTCTGTTGTATTACATTACATTTCTAAGTATACTAGATTTGTGTTTCTATTTCATTTTATACCTGATGCTGATTGCTTGTGTTGCAATCGAAACGTCGTATGCTAGTATTTAATTTATTATTGTATCTTTATACGTGACTTTACCGAAAGAACCAAAGAGTAATTCCTGCAGTCACGAAAGCTCCAAATTAAGTTTGAGGAGGTGGGTGTCCAAGACCACGGCTAGCCGTCTTTGTCTCCCCGGTGCTGATGTCCACATACCACCAGCAGGATTCTCATCATTTGACGCCGAGTCCGACCTAGGGGGAGCCCAGGACCGGGTTCAGGTATTCACTTTACTGGTTTTTTTTTGGTCGTGTGCGGGAATCGAACTCGCGGTTTGCCGGGATCATAGCAGCTCAGTGCGCTAACCACTGCGCCACCATTCCCCCATAATGCACACACGCGTATACACTGTCACCCTCCTCTGCCTCACTCACTCGCACGCACCACCCTCCCAAACCCGAGCCTCTGGCACAAAATCCTCTCCATAATTGTCGAACCCTTTAAACGATGAAGCCGGGTTTCCCCCATTACCTCGGTCACAGATGACTCCACCGATTATTGGTTTGCTTACTCAAGACCATTGCGATAGCACGAAAATAGTTGTCGGAGAAGAAGTGTCACGCGTGCCGCTGGACGGGAGGCTATAGGCGGGTTAGGTGACGTAATGGGCGTGGCTTATAAGGGGGGTTTCCCACCTTCACGAGGAAGAATATCATGGTGGCCGCCACATTTAAAGGGTCCCAAGTATTTGAACATTTCTAAGTACTGCAATCGAATGCAATTTTGTAGTGAATTAATATAATAAAACATAATAAAATAATTCTCACGACGTTTCGGCCACAACGCAAGCAGCCGTTCTTCACATGACGACGGCTGCTTGCGTTGTGGCCGAAACGTCGTGAGAATTATTGTATTATGTTTTATTTTTATTATTTTATTATTTCCCTTCTACGTGACTTTACCGAAAGAACAAAAAAGATGAATCCCTGCAGTCACGAAAGCTTTAAATTGAAAAATTGAATTAATATAATCGACGAATCTCCCAGCTGGGGTTTGCCGCATGTCAGGATTGGAATTAAGCATCTGTGTTCAGGTGGCAGGAATTGATTTGGCGCTGTGTTGCACCTCCACTGCTCTCGTACTGCACAGGTTTCACAGACCTGGGCCGACTGCGCTACGGTGGCGACAAGTTAACCACCTTCAGTTTCAATTTCAACAAAACAGGAGTTTGAGGTATGCAGGAGGACGTGGGTTCGATCCCGACCTCGACGCCTATATATTTGGAGTTTGTGCGTCTCTCTTCTCCCTGTGATGGCGTGGATTTTTCTCAGGGTCCTCCGGTTTTTCCCTCCGCATTTAGAACAAAAACTCGTGGCTTTGACCACCTGGGGGTAGTTGGGGGCGAGCAAGGCCCCCTGCCCCCCCCCTGCCCGCCCCACGCTCGTCACGCAGCCGCCCAGAACCCTCCATCGCCCATCATTCATTGCAGGCCCCGTAAATTGTTTCAGAACCATTTCAAAAACCCAAGCGTCGATCCCTCGCGCGATGTCACCCTATAGGCTAGTGCCTATAGGATGAACACTCAAGGTGCCTGTAGGGTGAACACTCAAAGTGCTTATAGGGTGAACACCCAAGCTGCTTGTAGGTTAACCGAGGAAATTGCCCCACATTATAACACCCATGAATGATCTCATTTACAACCACCCTTACGCACGGATTTCACGCAACGCGCCAACGCCCTCCGTAGCGCCGCTTGATCATCCACTCGCATTCACTCGCCCGGCCACGGGTACAGAAACACCTAACGCACGGAGACCTCCCCCCCCCCCCCCCCCCCCCCCGTGTAGCCTTCAACAGACTGCCGGGGCCACGTGCTGAACGGAACAGACGCGTGACGTCACACGCAGCACACACAAGTCTAAGTCACGTGACTTTCGGGCAACCATTCACCCTGTCTGCGGCGACAAACAAATTCAAAGTCAGGGATCGTGCAATCGTCATCATCGTCGTCGTCATCGTCGTCGTGTATAGTGGTGGCCGGGCAGCTCAAGACGACGCCTGCAACATGAGCTGAAAAAGGTGTCATTACCCGAAACGTCACCAATTATGTTTTCTCTTTAGGTGCTGTAGGTTCATGTGTTTCATGTGCGTTGTTGTTTGTGCTTGTGCACCACCGCCAACACGTGCATCATCATTTCAATGTTTTATTTATTTCGATGAAGTGAGATGAGTTCACGCGCAGGAGGAGTGGGATGGGTGGCGAGAACAGACAGCGTGGCGAGGCCTTCATCCAGCAGTGGATAGGCAACGATGGTGGCGGGCATGAAAAATCGTGAGCGTAAGAATTAACTATCTACAGTAAAACCTTAGATTGCGAGTAACTTGGTCTGCGAGTGTTTTGCAAGACGAGCAAATTTTTTAAAGAAATATTCATTAGATAAACGAGCGAGGTCTTGCAACACGAGTAGTACGTGTATACGCTTTGTCTGCCGAGCGTCACGTGATCACAACTGTATACGAGTGCTTTGATATACGAGTGCTTTGGATTACAAGCACTTTTCCGGAACGAATTATGCTCGCAATCCAAGGTTTGACTCCACTATGAATCACGCACTTGCTGTGAGACTGTGCGAGGAGACATGGCAAAGGTGAGCCTTTCAAAGAGCTGCAGTTGTAAGGCTCCGATGTTGACACCCACGATGAGATCCTTGGTTTAATCTCGACGTGAGTTGCTGCGGTAAAAATATATTTTTTTTTTCTAAAAAGAGACATTGATTGTTTTAGCCCAGTCCGTCTGAAAAGTCTCTCCCCAAAATGGAGAGCAACACATTGGGGTTCCTGACTCCCGTCGTACGGACAAACAACAACAACAACAACAAATCCTTGCACGTGCGGTGTGTCTAAATAATGGGTTGTGAAGTCACGATGACCCGCGCTTAACAACAAACAAGATCACAGCTCATCCTTCTTGTCTGATGACTGATCGACTTCATCTTCAACCTCCGCTTCATCCTGAGAAAAAGAGAAAAAAACCCCACAAAAACGCACCATGAGGCACACTGCAACAACGCGCGTGGGCTGTTCAGGAACAGTTGATCATGTAGTAGTAGGCCTTCACCAACAACATTATTCATCCCATTGGAATCTTATTTGGCAGTAAAAAATATGAGAATTGTTTTTTTACCCTTTAATCTGGCAACAAAACTGACACCTTTTTACAAGGAGTCATGTTTGCATAGACCACAATACCTGCAGTCATAATGCAAACAAAAAACATAACTCTGATAATGTATGCACTGTCCTTGAAGTTGATTGGTCCACACCCGAGACAGCTTTCCTTAGAGCCTAGTCTCACATGGGTTGGACCAGATGACGCCAAAAGGCGTAAAAAAGGTGTCAGATTTGTTGCCAGATAGAAGGGTAAAAACCCAATTATAACATTATTCATAGTAAAGGGTTTATGGGTTACATCGCGTAATTATCAACGTGTCGTTAACCCACCGCCACCCGACAAAGCCAATTAGTAAGGTTTGTTACGTAAACAAATCGTGCCAATTAGTTACTACTTGATAATTATTTACTACGTGATAATTAGTTACTACATGATAATTAGTTACTACATGATAATTAGTTACTACGTGATAATTAGTTACTACGTGATAATTAGTTACTACGTGATAATTAGTTACCACATGATAATTAGTTACTACATGATAATTAGTTACCACGTGATAACGATAAAGTAGAAACTAAATGGCACGTTTTGTTTACGCGACAAACCTTACTAATTCATGCTGGGTTAACAACACATTTCTATTTACGAGATCTAACCCATGAAACCTTCATTGTATTCAGAAACAGGCCACGCGGCATCGAACGGTCGTCACGAGGACCGCCTTTGGCCGCTGACTCGCCCGCTCGCTCGTGCTAAGCGACTCACGTCTGCGGGTGCCTCTTCCGCCGTCTCGGATTCTGGATTCCCACCGCTGTCCAGAAACTTGCTGAACGCCTCCAGAGTTTTGTCTCCATTGTAGTCGATGATCTGCAGGTCATCGGCACGCAGTTTAGCGCGAGCAGCTTTTTTTGCTACCCACGCGACACATCCACCACTGGAGGGGTGGTTGTGGCAGAGTGGGGGCGGGGTGGGGGGGGGGTACAGTCAAGGACATGATGTGTGGATAAAGGGACGGAAAAAGGAAGAGAGGAGATGATGGGGAATTAAAGAAAAAGGAGCTAAGGGGGTCAGGAGAGATGAGGATAGACAGGGACTACGCCAGGGCCTCAACGTTGAAACTAAAACTATTCGTACTTTCCCAGGTAAGGCCCACTGAGCTACCCAATAATAGCTCAACGAAGTGGTCTATCGCGTGGACATTTATAGCGGCCGAATACTCTAAAACGCATGCATCTCAGAGAAAAAAATCTCTACGCAAACCAAATGGGAGAGAGCGTGCAAACTCCAAATATACGTGCGCCAAGTATCGGGATCGAACCCAAGGACCTCCTGTGCGCCAAGCGAGGTCGTCGACATCTCGCCACCGCCCAGCCACCCCGCCGGTTGCTCACCTTGCGCCCAGCGCCCGCCGGGAAGAACTTGATCATCGGGTAGCTCGTCACCTTGAACGCCTCCAGGTCGTTCTTGGTGGCGTCCATCTTGGCGATGACGACGTCGTCGCGCTCCTGGTAGCGGTCGCCCAGCTCGTCCCACACGGGCGCCAGCTTTTGGCAGTGGCCGCACCACTCCGCGTCTGGTGGCGGCAGATGCGGGGGGGGGGGACACGCGCACCCACCGCAGTACGGTACAACGCGACGCAGAAGTGGATTCATGAAGCGGGGGGGGGGGGGGTGGTTACGCAGCGCTGTGGAGGCAGCGGCGAGGGTTTGGTGGATTGCGCGCAGATGTTGCGTGAAACTCCCTTTCCCCGTAAACATCGAGGACTCTAGCCGCTTCATCTGTACGGGATCGAGCGTTTCCCCCTCACGCGTGGGAGTTTCTCCGGGAACTCCGGTTTCCTCCGACATGCGTCAACACTCATCGGTTGGCCGATAACATCTTAATATGTAGAGGACCGCAGAGCTTCGTGGGAGGAATTTTGCTGCGGCCTTTCCAGCGTGCCTCCGAACCGTTCTCTGTCTCTCTCTCTTCACGCGCGAGCGAATGCCAGTGCGGAGCAGCGTTACAAGTGGACGTTAATGTTATTATTATGAGAAAATCGTTTACGTACGAGCAAATTTCCACTCGTTGGACAAACGGGAAGAGACTGTGAAAACAATTACTTAATCAGAGAAGAAGAAAAAACCCGGGCGCTGGTAAAAGAGAAAAATTAAAACACGTCTTGGAAAAACGGAGGTTGCAGAAAAATCACGGTAGAGCAAAAACAAAACATTATATATTTCTTCATCAAGTAAGTTATTTCTTTGAACTGGGGTTTCTTTCCAACCCCCTAATGGGAAGCCACTGAATGACAAATCTGAGTTTGGAAATTCCCCGCAGAGACTGTCACTCCGGGTCACAGGTTCGGAGATGAGTCAGGAAGACGCCCCACCGCCGTGGCGGGGACTTCCACCTGTCCGGGTTTTCCGAGGATTGTTCCCCCCTTGTAGAGGCAGCTGCCTTGGGAAATATGTAATTCTCCCCCCGTGGCATTAATTGTAGGTCTGTGGTTTCTTTTTGCTTGTGTCAGTTGGGTAATAACAATAATAATATAAATGCTATTTCCACGTAAAAAGCGCTTTTTTAAAAATCAAGGATCTAAAAGCGCAGTAACAAGGCAGCAGCAGACAATCAGCACGAAGGTAACTCACGACATTAAACACTAAGACACGCTGCAAAATAATAATAAAAAACAAACAAAAGAACTAAAACCCATTTTTGCTGAATTAGTTACAAGTTGAATGAACGGAAGTGCAAAGCGATAAGATTCAAGACAAGCGTTCAAAATGTCCACAGGCTTAAGAGATCCTGCTTGGCATTTCGTAGTGGGAGAGAGTTCCAGAGTCCAGGCGCTAGATGGGAAACCATGGCAGGCAGATGCGGGGTTACCCGATGTACAAGCGGAAAATGAAAAAAACTCTCCAGTAGTAGTGTGCGATTGCGCTCGTCCAGAACGCACCAATGTAACGAGTAACGACGCGTTGCCACCGATCCACGAATACGAAAGAGACATCGCGGGGATACGCTACTCGGCTGCTCCAGACGCGGGTTATCTGTCTGGCTTGACCCACACGAATGTGAAATTGTAGCCGTTTGCTCTGCCATCGATATTAGCAGTCGTACAGAAGACGACGAAGAAGAAGACGGAAGAAGAATAGGAAGGAGGAAGGGGAGGAGGGGGGAGGAGCAAGAAGCTTTCGCCCATCGACCAAAGCCTTGGCCTGGAATCCACCACTCGGGACAACGCTTTTCCACGTCCAGCAGTTCTCCCCTCTTCCCGCATTTGCGAGCAGTTCTCTTCAAGACAAGTTGTCCTCGCTTTACGCGGTAGAGGCGGTAGAGGTGAGATGTGTTCCCGAAAAAAAATGGCGGCGCAAAGCGAAATCGCGTAGCGTGGATCGTACGGCCACCCTACCCTCAATGCACCGCTGCCTGCCGAGTAGCGCACGTCCGACTGCAGAGAGCGAATTTTGGGTATAAACAGCCGCGTAGATACGTGAAATTTCACAAACTGAACCCACAAAATGAGGGAAACATGCGCTGTGTTTTTTGTACCTTATAGGTGCCAACCCTATCAGCACCCAATGTCTCTTCTAAAGATCCTCTTATCAAAACCAGTCATTGCCCACTCATGCGTCTCGATGATGGATTAAAGCCTCCTGAATCTGGTTCATCTCACCGGACATCTATGAACAAGAGCTTCACAGCTCATCGGATTTCTCCAGGATAAAAACAGAGATTCTGATTCTGGCTCAATATTCGTCACGAAGAGGCAAACAGACAAAAATACTAACAGAACTTCACGAAGACATTCTTGTCGTTGTCAAAGGCCACCTCCTCAAAGTTCTTCCCGACGAGGACCTTGACGGTGCCGTGATCCCAGTCCAGGGGCACCTCCTCGCTCTTCAGGAACGGCTGTCGCACGGCAAAGCAAACACAACAGCATCATTTAGTATCGCCATTCTGAAAACTCAAGTTTTGATGTGACCAGGTAAGGCCCACTAAGCTATATAGCCCAGTCGTCATCTTCATCGTTGTTGTTAGCGTCACCATCATCATCATCATCATCGTCGTCGTCATCGTCAACATTGTCATCATTGTCGTCGTCGTCATCATGGTCGTCTTTATCGTCATCGTCGTCATCATCGTCGTTATCATTGTCGTCATCGTTGGTGGTGGAACGGCACTTACCTTCAACGTGCCTTCGACGAATCCCGAGCAGAACGCGCGCAGGTTTTCCGCCGAGAAGTCGTCCGAGTCCGGCTTGAACTTGTTCATGGTCTTCTCCACCTCGATGAGACGCATCGTGGGGCAGTCCTCGGTCTCCACCCCGAAGAACTCCAGCACCTGCTTGTTCTCCTCCACGTCCGCGTCGATCGAGACGAAGAGGATCTGCGCGTGTGGGAGACACGAGGCCGCCCCCCCCATCAGCGCTGCAGGTTCCGGCCACAACGAAGCGCTGTGCGCCGTTGGCATGCGCGGGGGCCGTAGAAACTTTATTTTTATTTGATCTTACTAAGTAAGGCCCCACTGAGCCACGTAGCTCTTTTGTCAAAAGCGACCTGGCCATCACAATTGATAGCTCGACGAAGTGTCTTATCACGTGGACATGTACAGCAGTTAAATACTCTAAACGCGTGATGTTGATTCTAAACGTGGAGGGACAAAACCGGAGGGCCCGGAGAGAAATCCACACGACCACGGTGAGAGACACCGCAAACTCCAAATATAGAGCAGGCGTCAGGGGTCGGGATTGAACCCACGGCCTTCTGCATACCAGGCGAGGTAGTTAACATCTTGCTACCGTGGCGCCCCTTAAAGACGGCCCCCCCCCCCCCAGTGACGTCACGTGCTAGACGGCGTCCGAAGTATAACCGGGATACATTTATTTGAGAAACATCGCGATCGTCGCCCCTGCTGATGCAAACACTTGTGGCAGGACCCTCCTGAAAAAAGAGAGATTTGTGGCTTTCCCGGATAAACCAGCTCAATGAAAAGAATAATCAGCACCCGGTTCAGCAGGAAAAAAGAGACTCATTAGAGATCGAGGGGGCATCTATAAACTGATCTCCGTGTACTTCAATTGTCACGTCAGTAGGCCTCACTCCGGAGTCGCACCTTGCTCAGAGACTGCTCAGCCACTCGCCAATCGAAAACCAACATTTCCAATTCTCCGCGCTGGAATTTTTGCCGTCGCATTAAAGCCGAACGTAAAACGGCGGAGGTTTTTGCTCAGGTTTGCAGGCATCGGAGCGACCGAGCCGAGGGCCATCAGCCTGCTCCCCTTGAGAACCCGGTGAATGCGAAAGAGCGGCTTCAAACCCGGCACACGAGCAACGGCGATTGAAACGCACGCCTTTGACATGGCCACGACGGACGTCGACTCGAAGCAAGGGCACGCGAAGGCGTCACCTTGTCCCGGAACTCCGGGGCCACCTCCCGGAAGTTTTTCTTGATCTCCTGGAGGTTCTCCGTGCCGTTGGAGAAGAAGAGGACGTTGTGGACCTTGATGCTGTTGCTGAAGAGTTTGTTGGCGATCTGCAATGGGCGGAGGTGGACGGGCGAGCGAGTTGAGTGGAGAGCGAGCGAGCGATAAGCGGGAGAGTTTGCGAGTGGGCGTCCGGGATGGGGTGAGCGGGTGGATTAGTGTGAGAAGACTAGCGCGGTTGGCTTCGTGCGGTGCAGAGGAGGTTCAACGTGTATACCAGGCGCATCGATCGTTATCATGTTAACAAAATGAAAAGAAATCAACACATTCATCAATAGCACTGCTTTGAATATAAATCGTACGTGATAATTATAGGCAACGTTTCGACCAATGCACCCCTCTCTGCATTGGCCGCAAGAAGACGGGCCATTGCCCGAATCCTCGGCAATTCTATAGTTTTTCTTGTTAAGGTGACAGTGTTATTGACGAATTAGTTGAGTTGTCTTTTGATGCACGCTTGCGCACCACTGCCAATGTAGTATCACCACGTAATTTGTTGTACGCATGCACGTTGAACTTCTTTGGCACCGTACGTATCCACCCGCGCTAATCGGACGTGTGGGGGAGGGAGAACAAACTAGACACAAAAGAAGAATTGAGTCTTCAATCTCGATTATTGCTCAAATCGGTTTCCTAAAATCGAAAGGAAAGAGCATTCCAGACGGCCGCATAAGCGCATCTGAAAGCGCTGCGCGACGCCGGTGGCCGCCGTCTTTGTTGCGACGGCGAGGCCGAACGCCGCTGCACCATTTCCGCCATCCTTGTGCAATCGCCACCGTCGCCGCGGCTCCGCGGAGGCTCAAGCTCACCTCGCTGGAGAACTCGATGACCATCGGGAGCTCGTGCCTCTGGATGAACTTCAAGACGCTCTCCTTGTCGATCGCGCCGTCGTAGAACACCTTGGCCTCGTCAAACTGTCCACGGGAGCAGACACGCGCGAAGCCGCGGTTTCAGTCCTCGCTTTGAGCGACGTCCGAAACGATCGACGGCACGACGTTGATCCACGATAAAACGCAGGAGCGATTCGCAAAGACGCACGCGCGAACACGTAGAACACAAATTCACAAACACAGAAAACAGTCTTCTTAGCCGGTGGGGCAGGTCCTCGACGGGGAGATCGACTGTGTGATGAGGAAGCAACGCGGCGACCGCGAGATGGGCAGCGGCCGGGGCAGCAGAGTGGCGAGCGGAGGAGTTGATCACCTTCTTGAAGAGCACAAGGCCGTCCTTCTCCACGCCCTGGTCGCTGAACAGGCTCGGCTCGGACGTCACGGCGAAGGGGACCGCGTCCGTGGCGCCGGCGAGGGCCAGGAAGGCCTGCTTGTCTGGCCCATCCTCCTGCCGTTCAGCGTCACCACCACCACCACCATCACCACCAAGCATGGTGTCCACAGGATCAGGCTCATCATGAACCATGGCATCATGATCATCATCACCAACCACGGTCTCCACAGCAATCACAGTCATCAACGCCATCACCACGTGCAATACGTACAGAACTTTGATATATGCGTAAACATTATTTTTGTAAATGCTGTAGTTATGTTCTCCGTCATCATCTACACCATCATCTTCACTATCATCATCACTAGCATCATCATAACCACCATCATCTTCAATAATTCTACACCATCATTTTCACTATCATCATCACTGCTGCCACCACCACCACCACCACGTTCAACAACATCACGATCAATCCTCCAATCTTCTTGGTTCTTTCGGTAAAGTCACGTAGAAGGGAAGTATTAAAATAATAAAAAGAAAACATAATAAAATTATTCTCACGACGTTTCGGCCACAACGCAAGCAGCCGTCCTCAGGTGAAGAATGAAACACCGCTGCCCATCTCTTCACCTGAGGACGGCTGCTTGCGTTGTGGCCGAAACGTCGTGAGAATGTATTTTATCATGTTTTATTCTTATTATTTTATTACTTCCCTTCTACGCGACTTTACCGAAAGAACCAAGAAGATGAATCCCTGCAGTCACGAAAGCTTTAAATCGAAATTTTATTGTTTTATTTTTATTATTTTATTACTTCCCTTCTACGTGACTTTACCGAAAGAACCAAGAAGATGAATCCCTGCAGTCACGAAAGCTTTAAATCGAAATTCAATCCTCCAATGTCACCATCGTCCTCATTCGCACGTCGCCACCTTGAAGAAGCCGACGAGGACGAGCTCGTTGAGATCCTTCATCTTGTCGAGCCCCTCGGCGGAGTCCACGACGGTGGCCGGAGGCCCCATCTGCTTCCTGATCCACCGCACCATGGCATCCGAGTTCCGGCTTCCTGCGCGCCACGGGCGGACAATGTCCCTGGGGACCTCAGCCATCGTCTCCGTGGTCTCCTCAACGCGACGTGGCTGCCAGCAGTGCCGGATTCAGCTAGTGCGGGGCCTGCCGCATATGTTATAAAGGGACCCTACTTTAAAAAAAACACGTAAATATTGAAACAAATACATTTTTTTACTTGCATAGAAAAGTAATCGTATTTTTTTTTCTTCTTCTTGGTTCTTTCGGTAAAGTCACGTAGAAGGGAAGTAATAAAATTATAAAAAATAAAACATAATAAAATAATTCTCACGACATTTCGGCCACAACGCAAGCAGCCGTCCTCAGGTGAAGAAACAGGTCTGTCGAGAAGACGGCGTCTGAATGACACGCCCCAGGCTTGGAGTGTCTAACCAAGAAGATGAATCCCTGCAGTCACGAAAGCTTTAAATCGATTTTTTCATTTGCTATACAGCCAGATAATACGACAAATCGCTAACTTTAAACACCCAGTCGTTCGTAAAAGTTCAAGGCGGTTTAGTACTATAGTAATTGAGCAAGTGCAGAATCACTGAACCGGAATTGGTAGCTTGAAAGCATTTAGCGCGGGGCCCTTGAAAGTGCGGGGCCCGTAGCTACTACATGTGTAGCTACTACATATGTAGTAGCTACATATGTAGTAGCTACTACACGTGTAGTAGCTACGTGTGTAGCCACTTGTGCTACTAGGATCATCACGCTGCCAGAGGTTGGCTCGGAGCGTTGGGGGGGGGTGGGGGTCACAGTGTCACGAACCCTGGGTTTCAGCCCCCCTCCCCCCTGAACGTTAGCCTGGGTGAAGTTCGCCACAATGCCTCTACGTACAAAAAAAAGTAATCACGTGAAGTGTTTCGCTAAAAAATTGACGAAAATCCAGGTGTGAGAATTTCAAACAAAATGCCCCGTCTGGTTGACCGCTGCAGGATGAACGTGTCTCTGGAGCGAAGCGTGTGGGTTAACATCAACAACAACTAAAGTCACGTGAACAATAAGAAGATGCGTTCACCCTTTCGAGCAATAAAACAGGAGTTGTGTTAAGGGGCCGTCCATAAACGACGTCACGCGATTTTGGACGATTTTTGACCCCCACCCCCCCCCCCCCCAGTCATACGGCGTCACAAAAAGTCAGACCCCCCCCCCTCAAATATGACGTCACAAAGCTTTGCCCCCCTCCCCCCCCATAAAATAAAACATGCTTCAAATCGCCGCTTTAAACTATTGTCATTGTAGCGCGTATTTAATGTGGCGCTGCACTCTGACGTTGTAGGAGAAAACATTTATTAAAAAGTCTAATTAAGTAGAACGTGTTGTCTATATTTAAAGTTGCGCATTTTGATGTGACGTCACATTTCTCAACCCCCCCCCCCCTTCGTCACACATCGTCACAAATGTCTGACCCCCCCCCCCCCAGATGCGTGACGTCATTTATGGACGGCCCCTAAGATGTTCGAACACCAAATAGAAACCCTTCTGCAAAGGAATCAATTGACTGCATTGACCACACTCAGCGCTTGCGGTAAACACGCAAACAAAACACGGCTCCGATCATCAATTAAACGCATTGTCTTTGAAACTGATTGACCTACACTAGCGACAGACGGCAGCATGCTTCATGGCCTTGTCTCACCAGTGTCCAACGCCACAAGGCGAACAAAGAAGGGCAGAGAGTACTGACAAGCTCGGGGCGAGCAGCTACAGCAGAGCACCTTCGTTTGAATGTTCGCTACTTAGTAATGTGCGTGTGCGCGTGTGGTTGATGCACACTTGATTCCTCGCAAAAAGTTTGAAATTTGATGTTCGAACATCTTAACACTTCCTACTTTATTGATGGAAAGGGTAAAACCTATTCTTATTTTTAAATCCTTTATATTAAGTTCACTTGCTTGCTTGCGCGCTTACGACCGTGCAAATCTTTCGGTCGTTTTTTAACCCACTTCCCGTGATCCAATCGAGCTGACATTTTGCACACAGACTCGTTGTGCGTGACAATTTATTTTCGTGAAAATTTATTTCCAAAACTTTACACTTTTTAGGAAAAAATAAATTATATTTAATTACCAATTTCTTAATGGTGGCAGGCAATCATCTGACCCATAGGTGGCAGCCATCTCAAGCCAGAGGACGAGAGGACTCTAGCCGCCACGCATATAAAGGATTTATAGTGAAAAACTTTGTTTTTACGGGTTAATGTTTTCATACTTTGATACTGGCGAAAAAGGCGATAGAGCCACTTGTTTGAAGGGCTCTTCTCGGAAGGAGTTCTGCGACTTCTCGCACCGCACGGGGTGATGCACCTCTTCATCTCGAGGCCGCTAGCGCGGGTTAAAATCGACTACATCGCACGCAAGTTTTATTCACTTACAGACGTCCCACCCGTTCCCACTTGGGACCATTACGTCCTCACGGCAAGGTCTACATTGGTCGAAATGTCCTCGCAAATTACTCACTTGGTAGCAACATCACCCCCCGCCGGCAGGCGATAGCCACCTGTGAAGCATCGACTTCGCGATAGCCTCGTGTAAGGGGTAGGGATGGAGAGGGGCAGTGGGTTAAGGGTCATGGAGAGGATTCCTGCCAAAAGGAGGGGGGCAGTGGAGTGACAACAGTGGAAGGGGGGGAGGAGGAGGAGGCTGGGGAACGGTTTGCGAGAGGGCTGTGGGCAAGCGTGTGGACTGTGGAGAAATAAAGAACGGACCCCCCTCCCCTCCCAACCTCGTGTCGGCTCTACGTCACACTTGCACTCGGTGATGATCATAGAAGACACACGTCTTCGCACGAGCCCATTTTCAAATCACAACTGAAGAATCCATCCGTGCCGTCCGTAAGGGCACCTTTCAAACCCTCCAGCGACAGCGTGACCGACCACCCAGAGGACAGGAGGGATCACGGCTGCCGCCACCAGCACCCACTTAACCATTTAGAATGATCTCCCAGGGGACGATCTGAGATCTATCAATTCCCAGAAGCGCCCGTGGTGGTGGCTGGAGGTCCGTGCGGGCCACGCCATCGACACAGCGGAGGGGAGAGCCACCCACCCTCGTATTTCTTGGCCTCGTTGCGGTTGCCATTCTTGAAGAAGATGAGGGTGGGGAAGCCCTTGACCGAGAACTCCTGGGCCAGCTCCGTCTCCTCGGTGGCGTCCACCTTGGAGACGCGAGCTCCCTGATCGGCGCCATCGGCCAGCTCTGCGGCCGCCTTGGCGTACTCGGGAGCCAGCTTCTCGCAGTGGCCGCACCACGGGGCATCTGTCGGGAGTCAGTTTCAGTTCGTTTAAATTTCGATTGAAAGCTTTCGTGACTGCAGGGATTCATCTTCTTGGTTCTTTCGGTAAAGTCACGTAGAAGGGAAGTAATAAAATAATAAAAATAAAACAATAAAATAATTCTCACGACGTTTCGGCTGCTTGCGTTGTGGCCGAAACGTCGTGAGAATTATTTTATATTGTTTTATTTTTATTATTTTATTACTTCCCTTCTACGTGACTTTACCGAAAGAACCAAGAAGATGGTTCAGTTCGTTTATTAGGTAGAGCCCTGCGAGCCATGCGACCTCTTGACTCGGGTGCAACCGCAACAAACACAAACATGAACAAACAAACAGACGTGAGAAAATATTGACTTGAAGCTTTCGTCACCGCAGGAATTTATATTCTTTGGGTCTTTCAGTAAAGTCGGGGGTAGACATCGTCGTCGTCATTTGTAATAGAGGTTGTTGTTGTTGGTTCTTTCGGTAAAGTCACGTAGATAAAAAAAGAAAATGAAAATTAATTTATATTATTTTTTATTTTATTAAAAATAAAAAAAATATATAAAATTAATTTTCATTTTCTTGAAAATGTATTTATATATATATATATTTTTTAAAATAAAAAAAGAATATAAAATTAATTTTCTTTTTCTACCTACGTGACTTTACCGAAAGAACCAACGAGTATGGATTCCTGCAGTCACGAAAGCTTCAAATCAAGGTTGTTGTTGTTTTCCTTGGGGTTAGAGCGCGTGAATATAAATGTTGTCGCTAAAAACCCGCCACAATTGTGAGCGTTGTGGGTCTACTCTCCCACACACAACCGTTGTGCTGAACTAGTAATTAATGTTTTGTTGACGTGACACACCTTACTAATGTGCTATGTCGCGGGTGGTGGCGGATTTAACGACACATTTATATTTAAGCGATCTAACCCAACAAAAAAAACCCTCTATTATGATCATCATCATCATCTTCATCACCATCATCATCGTCGGCACCACAGCCGCCCACTGCTGTTACCACCAAATCCCACATCTTGGATCTCAGCAGCAGCAGTAGCTTTACACTGCGAAAAATCCAGGCTATCCGATTATTCAAGTAATCGATTTACTCCTTACGATTATCGGTTCGATCAACTCGACTGCAGTCGTCGGATGACACAAAAATAACTGCCATCAAAAAAGTAGGTCTCACTGCTCTCGTTCTACCACGTGTGCCGCTGGACGGGAGGTGATGGTGAGCGGGCCTTGGTGACGTCAACGGCATCATCAGCCGCACGCATCACGCTGGGTGTGGCTTGTTCGGGGGTTTCCCGCCTTCAGGAGGCGGGGCTGTCAAGGATCCCGATATAAATCGCCCACAAAAAAAAAACTCGATGAATCAACTTAGATTTTTTTAATTGAATTAATCGTTTCTTTCCCAGCTTCAAACTCACGTGGGTGGAGATGGGCGACGTCACCGCGCTGGAGATGCAGGCGCTCATTATTTTGACCCGAGCTGGGAAGAGTAGCCCAGCGGTGCTCACCTCAAGCCGTGCATTCTCAAAACTTTCAGGCGAAGGCTGCGCGGCATGGATACCGTGCAGGAGGACATTTCGAATGTGCGTCGGGAGGGAGGGGATCGTGGGGGGGGGGGTGTCAGCGCCACATTGCGGCGAGAGCTGGTGGGGGGGGGGGCATCGCGGTGGGGGAGGTGGGAGAGGGGGGGGGTGGCGACCATCTGATGCGCAGTTTAAAAGTCCACGAATCGACTAAAACATTGCAATCAACTCCCCCCCCCCCCCTTTTTTTAGGTCGAATACTCGGCCCCCTTTTTGGAAATGACGGCGAGTCGAGATGCCCAGGCACCCGAAGGCGGGCAACCCCCTGGAAGCCACGCCCAGCGTGGCGGGGGCGGGTCACAATGAGCACGTGGGAATGTGGACGAAGCGATCTCCGTGCATGATACCCGACAAATTCGATCATTCAGATATCCCAGTTCGAGCTTCGTGACTGCTCGGACAAAAAATAAGTATGCGGGGATTGGGCAGGGGACGTCGCGAGAAGGGGCGATGTGCTAAACCGTCGAACAAAGACGGTCGATGGCATCGCGCGTTTTCAGATGCCCTCCTGCGGCCGTCTGGTTCGCTCTTCCTTTCCGATATTTTAAAGCCACTCGAATGTGCACTCTTAAGTCGCCTAGATTGAAAACTGATTTCTTTAGAACTGCTTTTTTGCGTTAAGTTTGTTGTGCTTCCCTCACCCATCCCGCACCTCCCGACGAACACAGTCGGCTACGTACGGTGCGAAAGAAGTTCAACACATCTACACACACACACAAACGACGAAGTGGCAGTCGAGGGAGAGAGAGACACGCGACCCAGGGGTTACGTGCGACGCGGAAACGGAGCAATGAAATCAGCTCGCGCGCAGCTGCTTCGCATGATCCGGCTTTGGGAGGCAGTGGATTGATCGTGATGATGGTTGTAGTGCGGTGCCGCCACCTTGTGGAATAACTAAGATTATCCCGCATAAGTGGGGAGGCATGGGGGAGGGAGCGGTGGCGCAGCGGTTAGCGCGCTCGGCGGAATGAAACTGGCGATCCGAGTTCGATTCCCGGCCACGAACTCACATCAGCGGCGAGTGATACATTAAAGCTGTCCTCCACCGATTCGCAGCCATGACCAGCGTGGTGAAGTATGGTCAAACAGCCCTCGCTGTGGGCACGGCGGCGGCATGGAGGATGACCTTTGTCTGACGGTGGATTGCCAAAGAGCTGCCGATTGCTAATCCTTAGCAAGTTCGACTCGCTAACCTTTCAACTAGAAACGTGAATATACATAGATTTTTTTTTACTACATATCGCGTGCCACTACCGTAATTTCCGGATTAAATACGCACCTCCACTACCCCCCCCCCCACACACATTTTATTTGAAAGCAAAAGTTGTAGGTGCGTCTTATAATCCGGTATTCGGTAAAAAAAAAAGTTTGAGGTGCGTCTTATAATCCGGTATTCGTGCAAAAGTTTGAGGCGCGTCTTATAATCCGGTATCGTGCAAAACTTTGAGGTGCGTCTTATAATCCGGTATTCGGTAAAAAGTTTGAGGTGCGTCTTATAATCCGGTATTCGTGCAAAAGTTTGAGGTGCGTCTTATAATCCGGTATTCGTGCAAAAGTTTGAGGTGCGTCTTATAATCCGGTGTTCGTGCGTAACCAGATTTGTGTAACTTGATTGACGCCCGGTCCTGAGTCGTTGGGGATTGCGTCTTACTTTCCGAAGCATAATACGGAAAGTCCGGTGCTCTTGTTCCGACATGGTAGCAGGAATATATCAGTACTATTCCATTATTTAAGCAGACGTGTCCTATGATGATACATTTATGCATAAAGCGCTTTGTTATATCGTAGCTGGCTTGCTGTTGGGCATTACGGTGCGAACGAAGCTCAACATTTATATGCACACGTATGCTCCATATGCTACACGTATGCAATGTATTTGTGAACGTATACACGCATAGACACTGCGTGAAACTAAACTAAAACTATTTAAACAAAACGTTTGTTTTAGTTTTAACCAGGTAAGGCCCACATGAGCTATATAGGGTTTTTTTCTTTCAGAAACGACCTGTCCATCACAAATGATAGCTCAACGAAGTGGCTTACCACGTGGAAATGTTATAGCAGCCAAATACTCTAAATCGCGTGGTTAAAAATATGGAGGGAAAACCGGGAGAATCCGGAGAAAAATCCACGCGACCACGGAGAGAGAGAGAGACACGCAAACTCCACATATACAGCAGCAGGCGTCAGGGTCGGGATCGAACCCACGGCCTCCTGTATACCAGGCGAGGTAGTTAACATCTCCTAGCCACCGTGATAATGATGATGAGAGAGAGAGACACGCAAACTCCACATATACAGCAGCAGGCGTCAGGGTCGGGATCGAACCCACGACCTTCTCGTGTATACCACGCGAGGTAGTTGACACGAATATCGCATTACTATTCCATTACTTAAGCAGACGTGTCCTATGATATCCAGCACATGCACACGTGCTATGTTGCATCGTATCTGGCTTTGCAATTGGTCATGAGACACCATGCTGCACATGCTATGCGATGTATTGATTAAGGAGTAACATACGGAGGACACGACGTACGACTGCTATGAAACGTCATCGGTAAAGGCGCATCCCCTGCAACCGCTTACCCCCCCCCCCCTCCACCAATGTTATCAGAAGGGCATCCGCTCGACTCCAGGGAGTTCCAGACAGCCACTCCAGTGGAGCGGGGGGCGGGTGACGTTATATAAAAGTTCTACGAATCAATAGACCGTGATGAAATGTTGCAATACATGCGCACACTTTGGTGGTTCGTATGTTTCGCAAGAAAGCACGTTTTAGACTGGGCCTGTCGTGTGAACGAATTAAAGCCCTGGTCACCATCGCCCGAGAGCTCTCAAGCACGTGGGCACGACAATGCATGCGTGAGGATACGTGAACGTGTCAGTCGATGTGGTGATACAGTCTTGATGATTATTGAAGGGTTTGTGTCGTACGCAATAGCGGTGTTAACTATTCACGTGGCGATAAAAAGAGTGACACAAATTTACTTGAAGTGTTTAGCAGGTCCCATGGCTTAGCGTGCAGTTTCCAACTATCATTGTCCATCTTCTTGGTTCTTTCGGTAAAGTCACGTAGAAGGGAAATAATAAAATAATAAAAATAAAACAATTAAATAATTCTTACGACGTTTCGGTCACAACGCAAGCAGCCGTCCTCAGGTGTCTTCCCGACAGACCTGTTCTTCACCTGAGGACGGCTGCTTGCGTTGTGGCCGAAACGTCGTGAGAATTATTTAATTATGTTTTATTTTTATTATTAATTATTTCCCTTCTACGTGACTTTACCGAAAGAACCAAGAAGATGAATCCCTGCAGTCACGAAAGCTTTAAATCGAAAATTATCATTGTCCACTTTGTCTCGTCTCTATGTACTATGAAGGGATATTGCCCGAAACGTCACCAACTGTATATACATGGTGCTTCAAAATAGTTTCAACGCTTATATGGGACTATCGTTTTTAATGGAAAAGAACGGATAACATACACTGTGACGTGATAACAAATGTAGTATGTTAATAACTTCAACAAGTCAAAGGGTCTCCACTCGTTCGCCATCGTTGTCAACGCGTGGCCTGGAATCTTCTCCAGGTGGTCTACAGAGCCTGGAGGGGGTACATTTCCCGTGGCATCGTTGCAAATTCTCCGAAGTGTTAAACATTTTTTTTAAGCACCCTATATTATACTTTTCACGCCACAAGTGTTCTTGACAAATGTGTTGGGTCACCAACGCAGCAGCGTCTCGGTACACATCACCAGACACATTTCATGTCAAAATCCGGGAATGTTGTGCATCGTCTCAGTGCCGGATTAAGCGAGCGCGGGGACCTGTAGCATATGTTATCAAGGGGCCCTAAATATAAAATAAAATTGATTAAAACACAATTATCTTTACTTGCATAGTAAAGTTATTGCATTTTTTCATTTGCTATACAGCCAGATAAACGACAAATCGCTAACCTTAAACACCCAGTCGTTCATAAAAGTTGAAGGCGGTATAGTACTATAGTAATAGAGCAAGTGCAGAATCACTGATCCGAAATTGATAGCTTGAAAGCATTTAGCGCGGGCCCTTAACAGTGCGGGGCCCCGTAGCTACTACACACGTAGTAGCTACTTTTGCTCCGAGGTATAATCCGACACTGCGTCGCCTATGTGTGCGTCGTCTGCGCGGGTACCTACAGAATTCCACCATGAGGTAGGGGTAGGTGGCAAGCGCCTCTTCAAAGTTGGCCTTGTTCAACACCAGCACGCCATCCTCCTCCTGGAACTCCGACGCAGCGGTGGCCAGGAGGGCCCACAGCACCAAGACGATACGTGGAGACATCATCAGCAGCAGGAGTAGCAGCACCACCACGAACCAACCAGCTAGCCGCCGGAGAACTCACCGCGGGCAGGCGAACACGATGGCGAGAAGAGACAGAGAGAGGGGGTGTTGGGGACAGGTCTCGAGTTTTAACCGAGGGGGTGCGGGGGGAGGGAACACGAGGGGCTTCGCTGGGAGGCCGTGGGTATCCTGCCACCTGTTTGCGAGTTGCACGGACAACCCTGTCAAGGACTCGGGGAGGTAAACGCCACGTGGAGGGCCGTGAGTGGTGGCGCCGCGTTCGGCGACGTTTCAGGCCGGCGGCTCCATCGATGACAAACGAAGAGTTGTGTGGAAATCTGCGGAAGCTCTCGACTTTTTTTGGGGGGGAGGTGTCGATGGGGGGGTTTTCTTCCCACCTGCATCGCCGTTGTCAACGCGCGCGGTTCAACGCCGCGTTTAAATACGGGCAAAAATAAGTGAATCATACGGTCAAATCAGACGATAGTATATTGTTTTAGCCTTAATAAGTTTCTGTGTTTTATTGTTGTACATTTACAACACGAGTGTGTGCATCCACGTAGCAAGCTAGCAGCAGCATCGGCATGCAAGATCACTGACATGATAAGGAGCATCATTGACACCAATGATCAAAATTAATACATGAAGCAATTTTTGTTTCAGCAAAATATTTTTCGTCTATTTTTTGTGTGTTTCTCCCTTGTGATGCTACTTTGTAGGATGGACTTTGAGATTTATAAGCGGTAAGAGTTGACCAGTAAGGTCTGAATTGGTCTGTAATAAGGTAGGAGGCACTGATGATAAGGGGTTGGCAGGTTTGCTCTTGCGAGGTTCTCGTTCTATCGTGTAAGCAATTAAAGGCCGGTTCATCGATTCTCCGCTCGCCGTTCAACAATTGAGAATTAAAAAAAAAGAATCCATTGTGTTGAATGTAGCGGCCTCTAGTGGCTGCAGGGTTTCACGTGAGACCATAACATATACTAATTTGGAAAACTATCGATACAGAACGCGTATCGTGAGCCTATATAATCGATATGAATCGATGCGCCGTTAAACCCCTATAGAGCAAATGCATGTTTGTCTGGAACTTGGCGAGCGCGATATGTAAACTGGTCCTCCGCTAGGGCGACTCAGCCTTAAACGAGTGCCTGGCACGCGGCGTAAATATATCGGCATTGGGGAGATAAAGGTGGCCGGGCGCGGTGTTGGCCACACCACCAACTTCGCAGGTGCCCGCTAACAGGTCCGCACCTCCGACATGGCACGGTTGGCTACGTACGGCGCGAAAGAAATTCCGCATACGCTTGCAAACAAACAACGGCACTTGGCTCCAAAAGTCCGTACGGGGGTCCTTGGGTTTTGTGTGCAACTGCAGTGGAACGGGGAGGAGCACGCGTTGACCGAAGGCTGTTGGTGGAACTTCCTCTATGCTCGGATCGAGTTCTCTTTTTTAAATCATTTATATTAAGTTCACTTGCTTGCTTGCGTGCTTGCTTGCTTACGACCGTGCAAATCTTTAGGTCGTTTTTTAACCCACTTCCCGTGATCCAATCGAGCTGACATTTTGCAAACAGACTCGTTGTGCGAGACAATTAATGTTCGTGAAAAAATGTTTCAAAATTTTACACTGTTTAGGGAAAACAAATTAAATATTTAATTACCAATTGCTTAATACTGGCAGACAATCATCTGACCCATAGGTGGCAGCCATCTCAAGCCAGAGGACGAGAGGACTCTAGCCGCCACGCATATAAAGGATTTATAGTGAAAAACTTTGTTTTTACGGGTTATACTTATTAAATCCTTTATATTAAGTTCACTTGCTTGCTTGCGTGCTTACGACCGTGCAAATCTTTCGGTCGTTTTTTAACCCACTTCCCGTGATCCAATCGAGCTAACATTTTGCACACAGACTCGTTGTGCGTGACAATGAATTTTCGTGAACATTTTTTCCCAAATTTGTACACTTTTTAGGGAGAAAATAAATAAATATTTAATTACCAATTGCTTAATGGTGGCAGGAAATCATCTGACCCATAGGTGGCAGCCATCTCAAGCCAGAGGACGAGAGGACTCTAGCCGCCACGCATATAAAGGATTTATAGTGAAAAACTTTGTTTTTACGGGTTAATTTTTTTATGATTAATCCTCAATCCCGAGTTGTCCTTAAGCTCTGTGCCGATCAAGGCCGTAACTATAATATATATCGGGGGGGACACATCAAATATGCTCAAAATGTCCCCCCCCCCCCAATATATTGCTATACAATAGATTTCTGTTTATATGATTGTGGTTATGGTTGTACTTTATTAATCCATAATCTCTGCCATTACATATAATGAAACAAGAAAAGGTAAAAAAAAAGAAAAAACAGAACAATGTAATACAATACACTATGAGACATTATTGTAAAAAATAAATAAAAAGTCCATCCTATGTGTTAGTGATTTTTTTTTATATTTTAGGCAGGAAAATCTTTTAGATTTAGATTTTTTTCTGGAAGATTTGGTCCCCCCCTAATGTTGACTCCATGGCCACGGCCTTGGTAGACGCTGTTCATGTTCCGCGGATGTTTCTCGTCACTTTTTTTCGTGCCATTCCTCAATTCCAAAATAATATTTTCCAATGAACATAGTGTGGTAACCCTTAAATTAAAATGTTATTTTTCGTCGTAAAAATAGAGCTATCGAGGTGACGTTGCCACTACAGATATGTTGTCATCTATATATATAAAATCGTTCATGTCTGTCTGTCTGTGTGTGTGTGTGTGGACTTTGGCCCATACGCACTTTCATTGGACGGCGGTTGCCCCTGGCAACGGCTAGCCACGCCTTCGCCGCTTTCATTGGACCTGGCAACGGCTAGCCACGCCTTCGCCAAGGGCTGCAGTTTCATTGGATGGCGGTTGCCCCTGCCAACGGCTAGCCACGCCTTCGCCACTTTCATAAGCTCCGTATTTAATTAAATAATAGCCATTACACAGTATTGTTGGAGCGCTAGGGGGGGGGGGGAAGGAACGCCACCCGTACCCTGCCTTTTCCAAGCCGACAATTTTAGGCGAGGCCGCAGGCTTTGCACGCTACTAGGCCTCGACACCCACCACGCCACTCTGAGGTAAATTCATCAAAGTTTTTCCTACTCTTCACTACACCCCCACCACAATGTGTGCTATTAATATTACTTTTAAACCCAACGCGCCAACAATCGATTACTTTAATGTTCACTGTACAAATACTCATTAAGCTGGGTGAGCGTACTGCCACTCTATCATGTACACTCTAGCCTGCTTATGAAGCTGAGTGCGTGTACTGGCAGTCTATAATGTGGACTCTTGCCTGGTTATTATAATCGATTCTTTATATGTTCTTTGTACAAACAGTCATTAAGCTGCTTGAGCGACCCCAGTTCGATTCCAACTAACGCCCACCACCGCTGACGATTATTTGAAACGGACCTGGCCCTCCCCTAGGTCCACTCAGCCTCAAAAGCGTAACTGCTGTCGTGTGTGAACATCGTCACTGGGGAGACAAAGGCGGCGGGGCATCGTGGATCCAAGTCCCGGGCGAAGCCGGGTCATGTGTATGTGTGTTTGTGTTTATGTGTATGTCTGTGTGTCTCTATGTATGTGTGTATGTATGTGTATGTATGTGTTTGTGTGTATGTGTGTGTGTATGTATGTGGGTTTTTTTTTATGTCTTTATGTGTATGTCTGCGTGTCTCTATGTATGTGTGTATGTACGTGTGTGCATGTGTTTGTGTGTATGTATGTGTGTGTCTATGTATGTGTGTGTATGTGTTTCTGTGTATGTATGTGTGTGTATGTATGTGTGTTACGTGTCTGTCTGTGTGTCTGCATGTATGTGTGTGTGTATTGTGTATGTGTTTGTGTGCATGTATGTGTGTGTTTGTGTGTATGTGTATGTCTGTGTGTTTGTATGTGTGTGTATGTGTGTGTATGTGTGTGTATGTATGTGTGTGTATGTGTTTGTATGTGTTTGTGTGTTTACGCTCGCATTACACAAATGTGTTGCTGGTCTAAGGCGTTCCTCGCACAGCATTGCCGCTTTATTATTTCAGTCGTTTACTGCCTTACGCACCCTGAAAGTCGTGTGTGTCTGCAGCAAGCGCGTGTATGTGTACCTATGGACGCGCGCGCGTGTGTTGTGTAGGGGGAACGGTAGTGTAGTGCTTAGCGTGCTGTCTGTGTCTGTGTGTGTGTCTGTGTGTGTGCGTGTGTGGTGTGTGGGGAGCGGTAGTGTAGTGCTTAGCGTGCTGTCTGTGTCTGTGTGTGTGTGTGTCTGTCTGTGTCTGTCTGTGTGTGTCTGCGTGTGTCTGCGTGTGTGTCTGTGCGTGTGTGGTGTGTGAGGAGCGGTGGGTGTAGTGCTTAACGCTACGCTGCGCTACCAACCCGGCGAACCGAGTTCGATTCCCGCTCACGGCCACCACCGGTGACGATTATTTGAACCTCCCCTAGGTCGACTCAGCCTCAAACGAGTAACTGGTGTGGCGTATTAACATCGGCACTTGGGAGACAAAGGCGGCCGGGCGTGGTGGATCCAAGTCCCGGGCGAAGCCGGGTAGTACAGCTAGTATTGGAGATAAAAACACGATTCAATAAAATCGGCGTTAGCATTTGCCACTACGATTGCTACTTTACATAGCGCCAAAGGGATTGTTCCGCAATGCATGAATGTCCACGAGCTGATTTAATCGCAGGCTCGTGAGAGAGATGGCAAACGGCTTGGGGAGGCTCTCATCCAGCAGCGGATTGACCACGGCTGATGATTATCCAACATTTGCGACGGTGAAAGGCAAAAAATACACCAGTGTCATGGACATTCGTTCATGACACTGCGGCCGCAACCAGGCGCGATTCGTCCACAAGGGGGCGTTGAGGCGCCGCCTCCACCAAGAAGCTGAATAGTTTTGTGTTTCAATTATTTTTCTAATAAAAAAAATATGTTATAAATAGTTTCGTTATGTAATTTTTATTTTTAAAAATATTATTTCAACGTGAATTGCCTAATGAAGATGACATTATAAGTTTCGATTTAAAGCTTTCGTGACTGCAGGGATTCATCTTCTTGGTTCTTTCGGTAAAGTCATCACGTAGAAGGGAAATAATAAAATAAGAACAGGTCTGTCGGAAAGACAGCGTCTGAATGACAGACCTGTTCTTCACCTGAGGACGGCTGCTTGCGTTGTGGCCGAAACGTCGTGAGAATTATTTTATTATGTTTTATTTTTATTATTTTATTACTTCCCTTCTACGTGACTTTACCGAAAGAACCAAGAAGACATTATAAGTTGTTCACGTTAGACACCGCTGCAACGCCACGGTCTGATTTGTGGTCCTCGGGGAGGTCTCGGCACGCCTGTGAAGGCGTCCGAGTGAGAGGTCTTCCCTTCGTTCGTTGCCATTATCAGCTTCGGGCATTTTAGCCGCGGCGTTCGAGACCCATGCAGGGTGGTGAAGAAGGCGAGACGATGCCACGATGCGAAGTTGCACTGTGCAGACGCAGCAGGTCACGCGGCCTTCGGCAGTGTCAAAGGGGTTGTGTGGTGTGGACTTGGGGGCTGCATGGGGACAGCATTTGAGTGCTTTGTTGGTAGATAAGGGAGTTCTATCACTTTCACGGGAAGGCCATTATAACATGACGAGGTTTTTCCTTCATTAGAACACCGTCTTCTCAGAGGTATACTCACAACAGCCCCACATAGTGGACATGTCACGAGCCGCCACTGGTCGTAACAGGACAAATATTCAAATAGGCGACGTTTCAGGCAATGGTCCTTCACAGCAACATCCAGCACAACCACCCTCTCTGTAGGTTCGCTCATGCTTGAACACACTACGCGGTGGGCGAGAAGTCCCTATACCGTGTCTCCAACCAATCCACTGGACGCGTAGAGGCAAATGAGCGTAGGGACTTCCCGTCCAGTGCGGGTAATTGGGTTGAACATTGACTTTTACAAAGTTGTTCGGAACACGTTCTTCGCCACTCTCTCGCGTGTACTTGTTAAAATAGCTCAGGAAGGTGGCACGACACCGTCAACGTTTAGCAAACTAAATAAATGTTAAGCGCTAATTAGAATAACGAAGCGCCTCTGCTTGTGTGTACCCTGGGGAGCGGTGGTGCAGCGGTTAGCGCTACGCTGCGCTACGAACCCGGCGACCCGAGTCCGATTCCCACTCACGGCCAACACCGGTGACGATTATATGAACCGGTCCTGGGCCTCCCCTACGTCGACTCGGCCTCAAATCGCGATTGTAACAGCCACGCTCGGAGTAATGACCCCACGACCATTTCATTTCTCAATTTATTAACAATTTTGGTCACTTTTCACACATTTACACCAATCTAACACATTTCACTGTCGTCTATAGCACAGCAGCACACCAACATTAACCAGAGTCCACCTATACGCACGTATAACTCTTTCCAAACACTTGTTTTTTTTTGTTGTTTCAAAATTTCTGCTTAATGCTGCGTTTACTGCACAAGAGGACACAATGAACGCCGGAGGCGGCGGGTACTCACGCGACTGGAAAAAGCGCCCCATGGGCAGGTTCACCCAGAAGTTCCCAGAGGCCCCCTGGGACAGAATGCCACGTGGTAAGCCCCGTTAATCGTGAGCACTGAAAAGCCCCAGGCCTGGTTGTGGGGCCACTTTGATGTATGTGCGGCCCTGGGGCAAATGGCTCTCATTTTACCTAACCCCCCCCCCTCCACCCCCCCCTTCTGGGCGGTCCTGTCATGGGGTGTGCATGGCACCTCGATAAAAATACAGGAGAGCTCACGCGTTCGTGAGATCCTGCCAAGAGCGTGCGGATTGTCACAAGTAGCCAGACTCGCTACGTTATAAACGGCGGTGAACTTGCCGAAGAAAAAAAAAAAACCAATAAAATAACGAATCGAGAATTTTATAAAGCGTCGTAACTATACGAATTACCTGCGAATTTTTAAAACACAACAGAACAGGAAGAGTAAGCAAACTATTTTTTGTTTAGTTTTTACATAACCAGCATTTGTCAAACCTCAGTTGTAGATGTCACCTTTAACTTCAATGGAAAAAAAATGTTGGGGGGAGGGAATGAACCGCACGAAAGGTGATTAATTCCACCGTCGGATATCAATCCAATCCACGCATCTCGTGTGGTCTCAGCCAGACGCCCGGGCCGAACGATAAAAGAGGAGGAGAATGAATGATCTGACCTGTGCGGGGGACATGGCTCTCGATGTTTCTCCGCAATGATGCATTTGCCCGGCACTGAAAAGTGGTTCGGGTCGCTGGGTTGTGGACCTCCTTCAAAATGATGTTTCAGGCAATGGGCCTTCTGCACAGCGCTCCATGGGCAGGTTCACCCAGAGCTTCCTGGAGACCCCGAGGATGGAGGCCCGTGACAGAATACCACGTGGTTGAGCCCTGTTATTCATTAGCAACGTGCAATTAAGAAGGGGCTCAATACCGAGATCCCTGGATTATTTGTGCCGTATAAATGTAAATTATTATCATGATGAAAACGTTGCCTGCAATGTTACTGACGAACCTGTCGAATTCGTTATTACCTGTGCTTGTGCGTCGCTGCCAATGCAGCATCGCAATCTTTTTGTAAATTGTATAGAATCCTTCGGAGCGCTGGTAGAAAAATACGGTCTGTGTGAAAGTGCATTCATCGGTACAATTCGCAAGCAATGAAACCGTCGGCAATCTGGTCGAATTTAACCTGCGCCCAAAAGCCCTGCGCAATAGCAAACTCTGCGACCGGCGCGTGGAAGGGAGCCACCGACGGTGGCACTAGGGGGGGGGGGGTTGGGATGTGTGCACAAAAACGACGGCATTCCGCTAAAAACCCTGTCGGTGACACCAGATGGCGGTGGCCGGTCATTCCATCGCCTGGGAGGTCTCTTCGATATCTCGTCTTTTCTTCACAAACTCCTGGGCGTCCTTGTCTGCCACCCTGGCTTCGAGGATCTTCAGTATTCTGCTGGCTGCGTGGACCGAGATACGAAGAGAGGGCATCGGTGAGGTCTGGTGCATAGGGCATGCAAGAGGGTCAAGCAAGCATTCAATGGCAAGTGATCGTGAGCCGACACGATCACTTTGAATTGACGAATTACCGTGTTGCCAGGCTGGTGGTGTATATTTTGATTCAAAGCTTTCGTGACTGCAGGGATTCATCTTCTTGGTTCTTTCGGTAAAGTCACGTAGAAGGGAAGTAATAAAACAATTAAATCTAAAACATAATAAAATAATTCTCACGACGTTTCGGCCACAACGCAAGCAGCCGTCCTCAGGTGAAGAATTTATTCATTCTGAAGAATTTATTCATTCTTCACCTGAGGACGGCTGCTTGCGTTGTGGCCGAAACGTCGTGAGAATAATTTTATTATGTTTATTTTTATTATTTTATTACTTCCCTTCTACGTGACTTTACCGAAAGAACCAAGAAGATGGTGGTGTATACTTAAGCGGTGTGTACGCGTGTCAGCACACACTGGCACGCGTGTGCTTCACCTTATAAATTCACTGCTAGATGAAGGCCTCTCCATGCCAATTCGGTCACGGTGGTTGCAATGCCATACATTACCACAATGGTAATTGACGGGTCGGTGAAGAGGAGGGCCCAAGGTCGACCCAGCTAAATATCACGAGCCACTGATGTGAGCTGCGGCCGGGAATCGAACATTCTGGTCGCGAAGTTAATAGCGCAATGCGCCTACGATTGCGCCACCGCCTCCACCTCACATGTGTACAGACATTGTTATTGTTACAATTTCTGTTTTAAGAGCTGAGACGAGTTAGTCCATCACCTCGACTGGTCAGCTACACATTGTAATTGACGACTTATTTGGTGGTTGATTACTGGGACCCCTTTAAAAATGGCGGCCATATAACAGCCCACCTCCCGAAGGTGGGAAACCCCCTACGAGCCAAGCCCAGCGCGACGCGGGCGGCGATGCCGTGTGCATCGTCAACCACGCAGAGGTGAGACATTTGTTTGCTCCCAACTAATGCGATTTATCAAGCAATCAAACCGATAATCGGTAAGCGTGATCGGTTACTTGCTTTGCCGGATGGCCCAGATACAGGTGCCATACTCTCCACGGTGCGTGCTGCCTGTGGCCGAGGTTACCTTTGGGGTGTCTGAGATGCAGGGTGAGTACGGGCTGGCTGCCCTGCGTCTGCGCGGGGCTCTCGGTGGAAGCCGCCCCGGCTGCCCCGGCTGCCCCGGCTGCCCCGGCTGCTCCGGCTGCCCCGGCTGCCCCGGCTGCCCTGGCTGCTCCGGCTGCCCCGGTTGCCCCGGCTGCCCCGGCTGCCCCGGCCGACTCAACCGGGACACCGTGCAGCTCGGCGAGTGGCAGGATCACCTCCCCCTCCAGCTCGTCCCGCGACAGCCAATCGTAGTCCATGACGGCCAGAGACAGGCACGCCGCCTTCCTTCTGCACGGCTCCACGGCGGTCGGGCTGCACGCGCACACAGACGGCAAGCGAGGACGAAGATCCCCCCCGTGTAGCCTTCACAGACTGCTGGGGCAAGTGCAATTAGCGAGTAGCACCTGCGTAGGCCGGCGCAGCACACGAAGGGGGTGGGGTGGCCAGCACCGTGCCCGACCGCCTTTGTCTCCCCCAGTGGCGATGTTTACACACCGCACCAAGTACTCATTTGAGGCTGAGTCAACCTAGGGTAGGCCCATGACCGGTTCAGATAATCGTCGCCGGCGTTGGCCGTGAGCGGGAATCGAACTCGGATTGCCGGGTTCATAGCACAGCGTAGCGCCAACAGCACACTACCGCTCTCCACACACACGGCGCACACGGCACACACGGCACACACGGCACACACGGCACACACGGCACGCAACAATCCCCTGTGTCGTCGTCGTACAGACTGTTGGAAGAAAGCGCTGTTTGCGAGCACTGAATAATTGGGCGGGTTGTTAATAATTGCGACAGCGTAAAAAACACGGCGGCATCTCGTGGGAAGGGATAGAAGGGCCCCGGGTAAATGTTACGAAATGAGGCACCAAATTTCTCTTCATGGGGCTGCTCAGTAGCACGTTTCCGCGTGAAGCGTCGCACAAGTGTCAGGTGGTGTCAAAACATCGGAGCGTCAGAGAGATCACTAACAAGAGGGGGCGGTTCGGTCCGTCTCGCTCGTTAGGGCAGGACACCAGAGACAAGCTGGAAGGCAGCCAGAAACTGATACTAACGAGTGCCCAGGCCCTGTGGTCCGCGAGTGGGGCCGATGGAGGGGGGAGGTGGTACTTGCTGTGTAAAATCCCAATTGACTAATTGGGAAAGTTGAATCCATAACGCCAGCACACGATTAGCTGCCCTTGCGAAAGACGTCACAAGCTCTTTTTAAATCCTTTATATTAAGTTCGCGTGCTTGCGTGCTTGCTTGCTTGCTTACGACCGTGCAAACCTTTCGGTCGTTTTTTAACCCACTTCCTGTGATCCAATCGAGCTGACATTTTGCACACAGACTCGTTGTGCGAGACAATTAATGTTCGTTAAAAAAAAATTGCAAAATTTTACACTGTTTAGGGAAAACAAATAAAATATTTAATTACCAATTGCTTAATACTGGCAGACAATCATCTGACCCATAGGTGGCAGCCATCTCAAGCCAGAGGACGAGAGGACTCTAGCCGCCACGCATATAAAGGATTTAGAGTGAAAAACTTTGTTTTTACGGGTTAGTTTTTAACGTCCACTTTGAAGCTGACGGCACCCGTGCTATTACTCCGCTTGACACTCGCCTACAGTCAGTTTAACATGTAGGCTTTCGCGACCAATGTTATTCATAATCAACGTTTTTGGGTTTAGATCGCGTTATTTAGAAATGTGTCGTAACCCTCCACCACCCGACACGGCCAATCAGTAAAAAAGTGTCACGTTGACAAAAGACAAATAGTTCGCTGCAATTGCCCGATGATGCTGGATGCAATTACCAGCGAAACGTCGTACTCAAATTGTAAATGTTGTGGCTTCAACACACCCGTGGGTTAAAGCAGTGAACTATTTGTCTTTTGTAAACGTGACACTTTTTTACTGATTGGCCGTGTCGGGTGGTGGAGGGTTACGACACATTTATAAATAACGCGATCTAAACCCAAAAACGTTGATTATGACTCACCACAGTATCAATCAGGGCGGCTGCTGGATTCGTACAGCGAATCTCTACGAGAAGCTGCGAACGGGCAAGCGTTCGGAGGCAGACGTCGGAAAACGAAGGTGGCAGCGGGGCCGAGCGCGAGCGTGCGTACTCACAAGGTGAACTGCTCGTTGAAGACAGGCTGCAGCGTCTTGGGCTTCACCTGGGTCTTGAAGCTCCGCAGGTGCGGGAAGTAGTGCTGCGGGCCCAGCTCGACGATGACAAACGGGTCGCTGAGGCCTGCGGCGGGCAAACAACGCGGCGTCCGGGCGGCGTGAGGGGGAGCGCGAGGCGGGAGACGCACGTCCCTTTCGTCGCCCTTCCCTTCCGAGCGCCAGAGGTTAGGCAGCCGACTTTGTAGAGCGGCAAGCGGGTGATGCAGATCGGTGTTGCGCTTTAAGACGCCCAACAGCGGGAGGCGTCGCATTAACGAAGCGTCCATTGGGTGTCCTGAAGCCCCACGGCGCTTGCGTTGAACCGCGCGTGGCGGTAAGTCTTCCGGGGGACATCAAAATCTCGGGAGTTTTTTTTGTCAGCAGGAGTAATAACGCGACACTCAAGACGATGCAATTGCACGCGAGTTCTACCCTCTGCCGGTACCGTGAGATATTTTCTCCTGCCCCGTGATACGCCCCGTTTTTTTTTTTGACGTGCCTCCTAAGTTGCAACCCTAAGCAATAAGCTCTCACCGTTAGAGTCGAGTGGAATGAGGTTCGTCGCACTCATGATCTCCACGACCACCTTCTGCTCCGCGCTGTTGTAGTAGCAGATGGCGTTCAGCGAGCCATACTTGCTGGGCTCCGTTGGTTTCTGCGTTCGGAGGGACGCACACCGACGCACACGCGCCGCCGGTTACATTCGCGCGCGTGCCGGGGGCCCCTTGGTTCAAGTCGGCAGGTGGCTCTGCCGGAAAAATTTCCAGCCCAGAAAAAAAAATCATTATAATAATTAAAAAAAAAATCGTAATAATAATAATAAAAAAATCATAATAATCATTTTAAAAAATTTCATAAGAATAATTTTTAAAAAATCATAATAATAATAAAAAAATCTTCATAATTTAAAAATAAATCATAATAATAATTTTAAAAAATCATAATAATAATTTTTTTAAAAATCATAACAATAATTAAAAAGAAAATCATAAAAATAATAAAAAAATAATCATAATAATAATTAAAAATGATAACAATCATAATAAAAAAATCATAATAATAATTTTTTTAAAAATCATAATAAAAAAAAAAATCCACATGGCAGGCCTCCCGCGAGAGCAGGCCTGGCGACACCCGCGCGACACCCCATGGTGCATTAAGCGGCATCGCGTCCGCTTTCCTGTTGCCTTCTAATTAATTCCCTGGAACAGGGGAAAATCCCAAGGCGTAGTTTATTGTCTCCGAGAAAAATTGGAGCCATTCCACATCCCTCCTTAATTTACGCCATCTTACTGCCGTTTACTTAATGAACCCCCGACGGGGCGTGGGATGAGGCTGGGGGGTGGGGCGCAGGCACTCGTGGCGTTTTTATTATCGTTTAATTCTTGTGGGTAATTTTGTAAACACTCGTCTTCGAGCCATGATGGTGGCACCTATCTGTCTTGAGAAATGAACTCGGGACGGGCGATAACCGCATTCACGTCAGGCGGCGAGCTGCTGGCTCTGCCGTGCGGTGATAAATGGGCCGGAGCGGGATTTTAAAACAACCCGAGTCCTTGCCGAGTAGGTCAATGACACGCGCTGACATCGCAGAGCTGTGCAGCTGCCCCTGCTGATAAAACCATCTCGGAATTATTCATTGGCTCAGAGCAGTTTGCTTTGGAAGGCTTTGTGGCAGGTTGGCACAAAGGGGGTCTTAACCCTGGCCATCATCCGTGGAGGGGGAAATCATAATGGGCAGGGTGGCCGGGCAGCCTCCGGTGTCGGCACGCTGAGCCGGCGTTGCCGAGATCCTTAGTTGGAATCCGGGTTTCAGCCTTCCGAGATTCGACCGTGCTCTCGAGTGTCGCGAGTTGACTGGTCTCTCACCGGTTCACCCAGAACGACAAACCGTGGTAAGAATGTGGGTTCATCGCGGTGTGATGAACGTCTCTGTAACGTGATATTTGGGGAGAGTGCTGTACCCATAATGTAGATGAGGAGTCACTGGAAGGGATTTCAGAAACTCTCCTGTTATACGACTCTCCGACGTGCTCTCAGATTGTACCTCGCGATGCCCAATGGTGTCGTGCCACACGAAGCAAAACTGCATTGGCCAGCGTGAGTCAGAGAGCTGGGCCGAGCAGTGTCAATAAAATGGCAACAGCAGCACGCAACAGCTGACCACGTGTCGAGGGAGAGGCGAGTGAGCTGCCCAATTCAGTTCCTGGAGAAGCTCCCAGCGTGCGGACATCGTGCCGAACAACGCGGCACGGTTGTACATTCCGACAGAACGTCGAGAGCTGTGCGGCACGAAAGCGAAAAACGTACGCAGAAGCGTTCCGGGATACTGCCTCCCGCAGGGCGTTCTCTGACGCAGGGCGCTGGGCTGCTTTGCTAGAACACGGCAGAGACGCTTGGTCTTGACGCGACGCCCACGGCAACAATTGGAAAAAATGCATTTGGTGGGTGGGAAAAAGAAAGGGGCGCAACCCTCCCATGAATCATGGTCCGCTGCGGCGGACTGCTTTGATCGCTGTGAAATTGCAGGGAAACATTTTAAGCAAATTTTTTTTTAAGGGATGCCACCTCTCCTGCTTTTCCCAGCACACCCTTGTGGAATGAGCGACTTCCTAGACACAACGTCTATTTCTCACACTAGGGGCACAAACACTGGGCGATATATAGAAACGCATCTACAAAGCTACACACAGCCGACCTTTCTACACAGCCTCATCGTCGGCGTCTAACCACGCAGCTGGCTGACTAATGTAGCGATGCCGACGATGGGAGACGTGAAGAGGATCGGCCACGCGGGCGGACGACGAAGAGAGATGACGGCGAGCAGCGACGCGGCCAGGACCCGGGACCCCGCGACAGCCCCGGACCTCCGGTCACGTCCCCCCTCTATACTTCCCGGCGTGGCCAGTCCCCACCTCTGGCCACGCCCCCCCTTCTAGAACCTTCGAGCAGGTTCCCGGAGCTTTCCGACTGACCCCGCCTTTTATCTTTAACCCAGACACGCCTCCCTCCTAGTTGGTTATTATATAACGCGCCCATACCCGTGATTACCCCTCCTGGCCGACAGGGGGCACCCTGTCGCTACACTTGTGTTGAGGTATAGCTGCTATCCTGGGAAATCTACAAGTCTTCTTAGAGACATTACAAGTCCCGTTTTCTTGTCATTTGCATAATAAGAAAGTTCGCACGATATCTTGCGGCATTGTGAGAAAATCTCCCTCCCGTGACATGCCCCGATTCTTTGTTGTACCTTCATGAGGTGGCAACCCTAATGAGGGGTTTAACAATCACTAAAACGAAACTATTTTTTTCCCAGGTAAGGCACACTGAGCTATATTGCTCTTTTTCAAAAGTGACCTGGCCACAAATGATAGCCCAACGAAGTGGCTTATCACGTGGAAATTTACAGCGGCCAAATACTCTAAACGCACGTTAATTCTAAATGTCGAGGGAAAAACCGGAGCATCTGGAGAAAAATCCACGCCATCACAGGGAGAGAGACACGCAAACTCCAAATATACAGCAGGTGTCAAGAGGTCGGGATCGACCCCACTATCTCCTGTAGCAGTTAACATCTCACCACCACGGCACCCAAGCGATGGGTCGCTTGGCCTAGGGCAGAAACTACACACAACGGGGAGGGCGGGGTGGACTTGGCTCGTATCCCCCGACGCACCTGCTGGCTCAGCTTCTCAAGGAAGTACTGCTCGATGAGGTCCTGGGTGGGCATCTTGTTGGTGATGAAGTCGTCCCGCAGAGTCTGCGCCAAACGAACACAGGGCCATTGTGAATACACACGTGGCCTGGGCGAGGAACACACTTCGCATCGCGTTGGCGTACAAGGATGACAAAATACGTTTGGGGAGGTGATGGCTATGCACGCCTGCAAGCGCTGCGGATGTGAGGGTTGGCGGATCACGCAAAGGTTGTGCAACTCCCTTCCCGTGCGCGTCGAGGTGGTACCCGTACCCGGCTTGCCAAGAGAAGGCACGACAGCAAAACGTGGACTCCCCTCGTTATTTCTGTATGTGATCGAGCGTTGCCCCCTCGCACGCATGGGTTTTCTCCGGGTGCTCCGGTTTCCGCCCGCGTGTAGACACTGATTAATTGGCCGATAACACCTTCGTATACAGAGGACCGCAGAGCTTGAGGTGAGGTAATTTGATGACAGCTCGTCACCTGGGTGCTTTCCAGATCGCCTGTGGTCCCTCCTGCCTCCGAGTCATTCTGCCTCTCTCTTCGAGAGCGACCGGAGTACCGGCCAAGTAATCCAGCAAGATTGACAAAACGGTGTGTGCATGCACGCGTTTACACACACATCTCATCGCATCTATTTTATCGGTTGCACGTGTTTCCTGCCGATTGGCTGATAACTCTCGCTCAGTGGTGCCGGGACGAGGGGTGATGCGGCCGGGCGACGGGGGAAGGGGATCGCGGCGTTCTTTGTGAAGCAGTGGCTGCACGCCCGCCGCTCACCTTGTACTCCTCATTGTGGACGACGGTCATGGGCAGGCCTTGACCCTCCGCGTGGAAAAAAGCCACGAGAACCTAGCACACAAAGCACCTTTTTTTAATTTTCTCAATCGTCAGGATGAACGCAAACCCGCTGGCGTAGATGTTGCCGTTCCACACCACAGATTTACCCCAACCATGGTATTGGCGTCACATCACGAGACTATTAAGCATTCAATCAATGAATTTTAATATTTTGCTTGAAAATTTCGTGCAGATCGAACATCCCAAGTCGCCATCACGGAAGCGTGCATTCTGACCTGCGGTGTGTAATCTCACCTGCGGTGTGTAATCTCACCTGCAGTGTGTAATCTCACCTGCAGTGTGTAATCTCACCTGCGGTGTGTAATCTCACCTGCAGTGTGTAATCTCACCTGCAGTGTGTAATCTCACCTGCAGCGTGTAATCTCACCTGCAGCGTGTAATCTCACCTGCAGTGTGTAATCTCACCTGCAGTGTGTAATCTCACCTGCGGCGTGTAATCTCACCTGCGGTGTGTAATCTCACCTGCGGCGTGTAATCTCACCTGCAGCGTGTAATCGAAGCGGCTGTAGAACTCGGTGGTGTGTGGCTGATCTGCAGCCACCACGTCGACGATGGTGCCGAGTATGACCTTCCACAGAGCCTGCAGCATCCTTGGCGGCACAACGCCCGCACAGGCAACGCATCCTTCAGCTTCCCTTGTTGGGTTATGACATTTCCTCCCCACCCCTCCCTCTTCCCTCCCCACCAGCCCCTCCCCGACCCAGTTCCTCCCCAATAATAATTGTCAATGTACAGGGTGGTCCAGATGTCTTGTGACACCCCCCCCCCCCCCCCCCATTTAATTCTCTAAAACGTCATATTTTAGTGTGTGAAAACCAAAATAAATGAGCAAAGGGAAAGAAAATTGAGGGGTCAATTGATTGGGGGTCACAAGACACCTGGACCACCCTGTACTACGCCACAGCATCGCGTATCCGACCGTCACATATCCGCCCTGGCCAATTCACAACCCACACCCCGCGTGTCATTTGTCGCAATGTAATTGCAATTTTTTTCCCTTCCCGTAAGTTTCACGTAACGAACACACGAAAGCCGGTAAAAAGAGCGCGCTCACCAGTTGAAGTTTTCCTTGAGCAGGGTTCTATTGAGCATGGCCAAGTTGTTATCCAAGTACTTCATGAGAGGCGAGACGGCCTGTGGTGGATAGGCACACTCCTGGCCAGCAGCTCAAAGCAAATTCACCGCCACGTTGAAGCTCCCGGCCAAGGCGGCGGGGTTTCCAGCGAAACGCCGCACAATCCGCGGCACAGCCCCGAACACGCGCGCCCCGAAGAGCTGACACCAACGCCGAGATCGAGCTGCGTGACCTCCCGCACTCAACCGTCAACGCCGGCGCGCGCCGCCAGAGTACCCCCACGGTCGCCCAGCAACGCAATTATCCCATTTCACAAAAGTGCAACGCCGCCACCGTTCTGACGCATGGCCAGATGAAGGCGCAGCCCCGCAATTGCCAACTCACGCCCGCCGCCCACCCCCCGCCGGCGGGTATCCTCCGCTAGAAAGAGGGGATTGTGGGGGAGCCCTTCGAGAGGGCGTTTTGACCTCCTCTTCCATGCTTGCCGGACGGCTTGGATGAGACGGGAAGTACCCACACTCTGTCCCCCCCGCCACGTTCGACCCCGTCCGATCGACTGACTAACTGGTGAGCCCATTCGTACCGCTGGGTGGACAGAGGCGAGGTGGGGGGGAGAGGGTATTCAAGAAACTCGCGGCAATTGTTTCGACTGCTGCGTTGGGGAGATTGAATTGGACCGAATAAAACGGTGGATTGAAACCACCGCTGCACCACGGCATCATCCCCATCAGCCCATCCGCCGTACGCATGCTATTAAAGATGACGTGGCATCGTTTTCAAGAGGAGATGATTGTGCGCTGCGCATTGTGACCCGACGTGCAAGTGAGAGATGTGATATCTCTGAATCTATTCGGCGTAGGTAACAATTTAATTTGTTGTCCTTCCCCCGCACCTACGATTAGCACGGTTGGCTACGTACGGTGCGAAAGAAGTTCGGCATACATACATGCAAGTTACAGTAATTGATCAATGGAGTTCAAAACATTTCAGTTTTGGACAACATTGTGGGAAATAATCACATGGTTCCGCACAAGTCCAAACACAACATTTTAATGCAATACAAATTGTCGCGAGGTACGCCGAGCGCTTGAGTATTGTATTGAGCATTAACTACATTTTGTTATTGTTAAAAGCACACGCAGACTCACGCTTCCATTATATTTCCAATTTATTTTAATCGTAGCAACTCATAGCTTGAAAGCACTTATTCCATCATCCGATTACTGTACGCGGAGAGGGGGCTTCAAAGTCACCCCACTGTCAGGTCGGTGTAATCTTTCACAATTCAGAATATATTTGTTGAGACTGGGTTAATTTAAAACGACAACATTCGGTGTTGATATTTGCGCAAAGTTTTCGCGGCCCGTGCCGGATGATCCTGTTCAGCACTGAAGAAGCTACCGGCGCTCAGAGAGAAACGTCGGACATTGTTTCGAGCAACGCTCCCGTCCAGTACTGAAGAAGAGCAGGAGGAGCGAAACGTCGGACATTTAAATACTAAACTATTTATATTTTACCAGGTAAGGCCCACTGAGCTGTATATCTCTTGTTTCAGAAGTGACCTGGCCACAACCGACAGCTCAACGAAGCGGTTTATCATCGCGTGGAAATGTATAGCGGCTAAATACTCTCAACGCGTGACGTCGATTCTAAATGCGGAGGGAAAAACCAGAGGACCTGGAGAAAAATCCACGCGACCACGGTGAAGAAAAACATGCAAACCCTAAACATACAACAAGCGTCAGGGTTCGAGATTGACCTCCTGTATACCAGGAGAGGTAAGAAACACCTCACCACCATGGCGACCCTTACACCGGCACCCACCACCCCACGGTACGTCCCGAGAATACGTCGGAGAGCGCGCTCGATGCCACCGCACTCTCGCAACACGTAAACCGTCGACCAGAGGATGAACGTTGTTACAGGCGCACCAGATGTTCGGTTTGTCATGGCCCATGGAGGGTGTGGCGGAGATGCGGGGTTCAGAATTCTCGCGATTCCTGACCCGACGATTTGCGCGATGATGTCACGCGTGGGTGTCACGCGTGTGCCGCATTGGGGCCAGCGAGAAGCGCGAGGTGCGACATGGGGAAACTCACTTCGTCCGACTGGATGGAGTCCGGAGACAAGCTGATGTGCTGAACATACTTGCGAATGTCCGGGGACATCTGCGGACAAATGCAAACAGACGTTTCTCACGGTCCAGCGACGTGATGATCCTACTGCGCGCCTGCTCGAGGACAAATATCATCACTCCATCTCCGCTCCATACGTCCTCAAGGACGTGATGCGTTCATTTGCTGCCACTCCTCCGATTAGTACGGTTGGCTACGTACGGTACGAAAGAAGGGATCATGTTTGCAATAACCACAACACAAGCAGTCAAAATGCAAGCAAAAAGAAACAACTCTGATAATGATATCCACTGTCCTTGAAGTTGATTGGTCCACACCCGAGACGGCTTTTCATAGAGCCTAGTCTCCACTGGTGTTGGACCAGATGACGCCAAAAGGCGTACAACTCAAAGACAGCGCACTATCAGAGTAATGAGAGCTCGGGGTAAGCATTTACATTATGAGACCTCCTTTGCCAGTAGCAAGCTAGAGTAATAGGTTTTTACTCTTTTATCTGGCACCAAAACTGACACCTTATACAAGGGTAAAAACCTACTACTGTATCTTGCTACTGGCAAAGGAGGCCTCATAATGGTACGAAAGAAGTTGAACATACATACACACATACTCCCTGTCATTGTTCTTGACCATCAGCCATGATACATCCTGCAGGAGGACCACTTAACGAGATTGAATCACATCAAAAATGTGCGTGTGTCCACTTATCGCCGAGTTCCTCTTTCTGTCTCTCGGCGTAATGCCAAGCACGCAGCTCTCCAACGCCCCGACCGCTTTTACCCGAAGCTTTTCGTCGCCGCAAACTCAACCGAGTCGGAGGGAGGCAGACGGACAACAAAACACTCGCACGAAAACGTTCAAATCGGCGCTCACCTTTTCAGCGAAGATGGTGACGACAGCGGTGATCTCGTGCTGCACGGAGCTGTCCAGGGCGTGCAGCTGCGCCAGCGGGCCCCCCGCCGTGCCCCCCCCCGCGGCCCCCCCCCCCTGGAGCCCCCCACCGACCGCGGGCACCCCCGCCGCCTCGGCGTCGGTCAGCCCCAGCTCCTTGGGCAGCGCGCACACGAACTGGCGCACGTACTCCATCCCGTTGAGGGCTATGCACAGCTGCGCAAGGAGGGGGGAGCGGGAGGGGGGCACACGGCGGCGGTGACTCACGGAAGCTGGCGGCCACCCTCGCCGACATTGAAACTGCAACGAGGGGGGCGAGTCCTGCCAGTGCGCGGACTTTTGAAATGCTACCCAAAGCGCGTTCGTCCTCGGAAGCGTTCGATTAGCAGCAGTGCGCTCACATCCTTTTGGCGCTAGTTTTTTTGTTTATCGCAAAGCTTGTGAAGATAGTTGCTAGTGACCTATCCTATATAAAACCGGCCACCATCATCACAACCATCACCACCGTCATTCCCCGTACCTCCAAATAGCACGGTTGGCTACATACGGTGCCAAAGAGGTTCAACATACATACACACAACCCTTTCATCAATCTGGCCGGTTTTCTATAGGATAGGTCCCCGATAGCAACACAACTTTATACTTACAGTTGTCGTGCCCCGCTGTTACAGACAGACAGACAGAGCTATTGCGCAAGAGCTCAGCAGCATGCGACCGAATGGACCCCGCGCATCCGAGTACCTGGTTGCTGAGGTCGAACTGCCCGTCGGCCCTGTAGTAGCCGCCCGCCTCCACCTTGCGCTTGACGAGCTCCATGTAGAAGTGAGCGCAGTTGCAGAAGTTCTGTGCAGCCAGACATGGTGGAGGTCAATCCAAATCAGGGCCTTGCGAGCTAGGGCTGGGCTCTCCCATTACGCCATGAAGCGGATGACTCTCTTATTTCAGGAATCGATGACTATACCGGTCATCGGTTCGATGACTCAACTAATCGGATAGCGAGACAACAGTTGGGCGTAAGAGTCTTTCCTGTGTTCCCAGTTTGTGCCGCTGGACGGGAGGTGATGGGGCGGGGCTTGGCGATGTCATCGGCATTGCCAGCCGCGCCACGCTGGGCGTGTCTTATTGGGACGGTTCCCATTTTCACGGCTCATGGTTCACGGCTGATGCTGGTGCTCAATCCTACAATAATACCTTGCCGATCTCGTCAAGGAGGATAGAACATCACGAAAACTCCGGTCATCCTCGCAGCGGCTGCTGGCTCGCCATCAAACAAAGATGGTCACCGCATCGCGCGCTTTCAGATGCGCTTCTGCGACCGTCTGGAACGCTCTTCCTTCCGACATGAGGAAGCCACTGCAGCTACGCACATTTAAATCTAAATTGAAAACTCATTTCTTTGTAACCGCTTTTTGTGTTTAGTTTGTTGTATTTCCCCCGCGCCTCCGATTAGCACGGTTGGCTACGTTACGGCGCGAAAGAAGTTCAACTTACATACATACATACGTGCGTACGTACTCTGGGTGCGTGTGGAATGCCGGTGGTGCCGCCGAGAGCCGGGACGCTCACCTGCATGAGCTTGCTGAGGATGGGGGTGGCCGAAGCCGGAGGCCACTGGAGGCCCTTCCACAGGTCCCGGATGTGGGACAGACATTCCGTGGTGCTCAGCGCCGACGAACTGTACTTCACCTGGGCGTTCAGGAAGTCCAGCTGTGTAGCACACGCACAGAGACAATGGTACCCCACCCCCGTGTAGCCTTTACAAGACTTTTGAGGCGAGTGCGGTTTGTTAGAAACCCGTCAGGGGCCGGCACGGCGCACAAAGGAGGGGGGGGGGGGGGTGGCCAACACCACGCCCGGCCGCCTTTGTCTCCCTCCTCAGTGCTGATTGTGTACACACCGCATCGGTATTAATTTGAGACCGAGTCGACCTAGGAGAGGCCCGGAACCGGTTCGGATATTCGTCACCGATGCTGGCCGTGAGCAAGAATTAAACTCGACTCGCCAGGCTCGTAGTGCATTGTGCCAACCGTTGCACTACCGCTCCCCACTATATATGACAAACACAACCAGACTCTGAATATTTATTTACACTCAAGGAATCCGATGAGCCATAAAGCTTTTTTAACAGATTCCAGGAGTTTTCACAGATATCCAGTACACATAACATGCGCACACACACACACCAATGAGCAATAATCCACCTTGGAATTTCAGAACTCCAACTACACGACACAACGAGGCTAAAGATCCCCCGTATAGCCTTAACAGACTGTAGGAGCAAGTGCTGTTAGCGCGCACCGATGAAGGCCTACACGACACAGACACACACAGAGACACATGCACACATGCAGGTGGACTCCTGACATCCGCACAGAGTAGCTCTCTCCGATGCGTGTTGATCGTCGCACACTTCAACGTTTCTCTCCGTGTGCCGGGCGCTTCCTCGGGAAACGAATTCGGTTCCGGAAGGAGGAGCTCGCGTCACCGCGTTCCCTCCCCGAAGAAGCGCGGCACGACCTGGAAACGCGCCGCCGGGAGAGGGCCGTACAGCGGCGCAACCGCAAAAACCCGGAGGGCAGACGTCTTCTGCGTGACATCTCGGAGGCGCTGATCTGGCACGAGCGGAATCGGTATGCGGCAGCGGCGGCGATGGCGGCGACGACGTATGGACCATGCGTCACGAATGAAGTGATGGCAGAAGCATGCTTAAAGCAAAGAAAGCGGCACTCGGGCAAATAAATCGAGCGAACAAATGGCAGGGAATGCGCTCGTGCATAAAGCGCTCCGTTCAGGAGAAAACCGTCGTCGAGGAAAGTGGCACTGCCGGCGCGATTTACCTTGAAGCGCGACACCTTCTGAAGTCGGCGGGTTACAGGCGAGAAAAGGCGCGGAAAAGGAAGGAGAAACGAGCCAAGCACATTTAGCGGAAGAACTCCGCAGGAAAAAAAAAATTCACAGCGGTCAGGGGTGCTGCGAAATAGCTGTTGGTGATACGTTATGATATCGAAATTCACGGTAGGACGATTATCGCGATATTACTTTCCCCCGCCGCCACCCACAACTCTACAATTGCGTTTCACATTTTAAAATCCTTTATATTAAGTTCACTTGCTTGCTTGCTTGCGCGCTTACGACCGTGCAAATCTTTTGGTCGTTTTTTAACCCACTTCCCGTGATCCAATCGAGCTGACATTTTGCACACAGACTCGTTGTGCGTGACAATTTATTTTAGTGAAATTTTTTTCCCAAAATTTTACACATTTTAGGAAAAAATTAATTATATTTAATTACCAATTGCTTAATGGTGGCAGGTAATCATCTGACCCATAGGTGGCAGCCATCTCAAGCCAGAGGACGAGAGGACTCTAGCCGCCACGCATATAAAGGATTTATAGTGAAAAACTTTGTTTTTACGGGTTAATTTTTATTGTCTTGGATTTGTGCTATACGATTATTTAAACGTTCTTCGGCTGCCCTTCACTCAACTTAAGCGCGCGAAAATTCTTCGTGATTTTTGTTACAATCTGCAACGCTTAGAAGGCTCAAGTTGTCAGCTTCACAAACACAACGAATACAATTCGGTGATCTGCGAAAATGATGAAGTCATATAAATGCCGTGCCGTTCATCGCTTTAATACATTATCACCAAACACTAATTTAATGGATCATACTGTAATTATTTAATTACAACATTAATTATCGTGTTATTTCTTAAAAGGTTTTTTTTTCTCTCTCCTGAAAATAAAATAGTTAAGGAAATAAAATTAATAGCGCTCACCGCGATATGACGGTATTGCGCGAAATGGACGATACAATTATCTTGGTTCAATTGTCATACAATACTCTTAGTTTTTTCAGTAAAGTCACGTAGGTAAAAAATGAAATTAAAATTAATAAAAATAAAAGAATAAAAATCACGACGTTTCAGAGGCAACACAAGCTTCCGTCTTCAGGTGAAACAGTCACAGCAAAATATCTGTATCGCGGCATCTCTTGAGGAAGGCCAAATATTTAGCTGTGACGATTTCACCTGAAGATGGAAGCTTGTGTTGCCTCCGAAACGTCATGATTTTTATTCTTTATTTTTATTTCATTTTTTACCTACGTGACTTTACCGAAAAAACTAAGAGTATGAATCCTTGCAGTCACGAAAGCTTCAAATCTAGAATGTCATACAATACATCACGGCATCCAAGTGCCGCCCTTCTAAGATCCACCAAAGCTTGAGAGAGACTGGCTGCCACCACCATCACCTTGGCTTGAATGATTGTTTGGTCACCGAATTATTGAGGCGCTGGTCACTACGCTACATGGGGCCTAGAGGCGAGGCTTGCTACATCACACAAACTCGTGATGTGTCCTACCTTACTGTTAATGCCACACTAGGGCAGTACAGCAAGTAGATTAATTTCCAGTTGTACGGGGATCGAGCGTTAGGCCCATCGCAATCATCGTGTCCTGGGCCTGGGCCCACGGAACTCGCTGCACAAGAACAAGATCTCCGTTTATCTCGAGGGGTCACGGCCACTGCGGTTATTAATTTTAAATTGCATTCTAATTAGGGAACTGTGCTTACCATTGTATCGGAAGGAGTGCACACATTAAAGGGTATGAATGGAGGCGCTCATTTACATATAAATGGGCATGTAATTTGTAACCTGGCTAACGCCTGATTTGCATGCACTTTCTTCCATTGCACACAAGTGCAACGATATTGGCCAGTAAAGAAACCTGAAGGAGAAAAACATTTGATTTCCAAGGACCCAACCATCAAATGTCCTGGAAACAACAGGTGCATTCGTTCCTTCCCGATACCAGATCATAGCCACGCATATACAGATCATAACAACGCGGGTAACCCAATATCAGATAAGAGCAATGCAGGTAACCCGATACCATAGCAATGCATATACATATAGCAAGGCGGGTAATCCGGAACCAGATCATTGCAGTGCGGGATCACAGTGACGTGAGCATCGGCCCAGTAGCAGACGTACCCCGTCCGCCTTGACGGACTCGCTGATCCTCTCCTTGGCTTTCTGGTGAACCAGCTGCAGCCAACGCAGCATGAGCACCTTGAACGAGCCGTGGAACGAAGCCAGCGCCAGCGGCTTCCCGTCCCTGGGGGAAGCGGCACAGGAGGCAAAGGCTGGCGATGTCACATGACGGCGCGCTGGGCCCAGCGTCGATTTCAAAACTTAGACGACTTCAGGAATTTAAATTTCGATTTAAAGCTTTCGTGACTGCAGGGATTCATCTTCTTGGTTCTTTCGGTAAAGTCACGTAGAAGGGAAGTAATAAAATAGTAAAAATAAAACATAATAAAACAATTCTCACGACGTTTCGGCCACAACGGCTGCTTGCGTTGTGGCCGAAACGTCGTGAGAATTGTTTTATTATGTTTTATTTTTACTATTTTTTACTTCCCTTCTACGTGACTTTACCGCAAGAACCAAGAAGACTTCAGGAATGTAATTACGAATGTTTTATTTGACCGACAACGCGAGCATCGGTCGGAAGGAGGCCAACTGGAGGACACGATCCAGAGTCATCATCGCGACGATGAACTGAACTGGGAACGCGATGTTCCGCTTTTTCTGATCGCTGGCAAATCCATGCATGGATTTCCCCCCAATTACACAGGGTGATCCAGTTATAAATGGCCCTCCTACTTTCTTCTGTGGCCACATATCTGGCAGGCGACGAGCCTGCTGGAACACTTAACGGGCGTCGCGAGGACTGGTGGGAGGCGTGTGGAGTCTTTGAAATAAGCTGCTGTTTCCTCTGCAATTTCACGCTTTTATTTTCGCGGAATACTCGCCGCGGCCATCAGTGAGATGAGATTTAAGGTGTCGCTCACTCGACCGATGAAACACCTGATCGTCCGTACCGTCCGACAGCAGAACCCCCCCCCCCCGTCCCCCCGGTAATGAATTACCTGTAAACCACACAGCTGCACGCAGCCGTACAACATCAATATCCTCTTGTGAACTGCTACCCCTATTTCCTGGCGATTTCAAAGAGCGCACACAATGACGCAGGTGTGATCATTAATTGCACAATTTTCTTATTTAATTTGACATCGTATCCCGCGCGGCAGCCGTCGGGTATTACGTACGGATCTATTACGATACAGCCTTCAACGCGGCTATCAATTATCAGTTAATTTATACCGTTAAAAGAAACAACATTGTGCAGCCTATTGATTATCTTAGAATTGCCTGGTTCTTTGTGGGTGTGCGGCGGCATTGTTGGAGATATTGCGGGAGAGTTTGGCACCCCGAGGTCTCTTGTCTTGGGCGTACGTACGGTATCCTCAGCCATCTCAAACGTCTCCTCGAGACCTCCTCCTCCTCCACACTCGTACATTTAAAATAAGAATCCCATTTACTTAAAATTACATTCCTCCTTATCTGCAAGTTTTCTTTACCCCCCCCCCACTCCCTCCATCAAAATCACGTTTGGTTACTTTTTAAATGAAAGTTCTTATTCAAGTCTCATATGTATATATAAAATGCTCTTGGCTAATTTGCTGAATTTTAATCTCTGATATTTGACATCTGCTATTCCTGTACGGTTTCACGATTTTATTTTAAAGACCTCTGAAAAAGTGCTTGGTCTAATCACACACTTCTACTTACAGACGAGTTCATACTGCCAACTTTATTCTTTTCAAGAATAAGTTCTTTATCATCTGTATATTTAAAAAAGAATACAGAATTAGAATGGTTGAAATGCAAAACTGTTGCACTGTGATGAATCCTATAGGTAGCTTGATAACCAAGGCTATAATAGCATCACTTTGTGCACTGCAACTCAATATGGGCTAAAATTAAAATACTTTTGTAAATTTTAACTTTGATTTAGCTTAACAATTCATACGTCACGTTTAAAAACGAGAAGTGAAATGTAGGGATACACAGTTACAGCCTTGGACACTTAAATGCCACAATCATTCAAGGTTGACCTGAAATTGTGATTCTACAAATGGGATCAGGATATCAATCATTCCAATGCCCCGCTGTAGTTTTCGTCTAGGGACCTCACCCCGATGGCAGCTGCCGCTGTGTGGCACACGGTGAAGGCAGCACCAGCCTACTACAGGTGGGCGTTTAGTCTCGCAGTATTGGACAATGTTGCCATTCGTTTTCCACGGTGGTGAGGGCGCCACGGTGGCTAGGAGATGTTAACTACCCCGCCCAGTATACAGGAGGTCGTGGGTTCGATCCTGACCTTGACGCCCGCATGTTTGGAGTTTGCGCGATCTCCCCCCTGGTAACGTGGATTTTCCTCCAGGTCTTCCGTTTTTCCCCTCCACATTTAGATACACGCATTTACAGTACTTAGCTGCTGTAAATCACCACGTGATAAGCCACTTCGTTCAGCTATAATTTGTGGCCAGGTCGCTTCTGAAAAAAAGAGCTACATAGCTCAGTGGGCTTTACCTGGTAACCTAACCCAGCTTAAATATACATTGCCAAGCTTGGTGGTGTTCATTCAGACGCTGTCTTTCCGACAGACCTGTTCTTCACCTGAGGACGGCTGCTTGCGTTGTGGCCGAAACGTCGTGAGAATTGTATTTTATTATGTTTTTAATTTTTTATTATTTTTTTTTATTCCCTTCTACGTGACTTTACCGAAAGAACCAAGAAGATGAATCCCTGCAGTCACGAAAGCTTTAAATCGAAAGATAAAAAAAGTTTAGTTTTAGTGTTGGGCAATGTTGCAATTTGTTTTCCCAATTAAGTGATGCATATGAATAATAACCGAATTTAATAGCGGTGTGGTGTTTGGCATCATGCTTGATTGCTGGCGAAACAGTAGAGGAACAAAAATTACAAATATACAAAGAGAGCCCCCCACCACCCCCACCCCCCAGCCCTTGGCCCCCATCAAACGTCATCGCACCTCCGCTTAGCGCGGTTGGCTACGTTCGGTGCGAGAGAAGTTCAACATACGTACACACGCACGCACGCACGCACGGGACCGCGGCTGCACGCACGCGCGCACACGCACCTGGCGGGCAGCGAGTCACTAAGGCCGTGCAGCTCGCGCAAGTTCAGGTAGAGCTGCAGCATGGCCTCCCCGGAGGGCTGGCTCAGTGCCCCCACGTCTCCCTCCGAGATGCCGCCCGGCTCCTCCAGGCAGCTGCTCACCTCGTCCGATATCTGTTCGGGGGGGCGGGGGGGGGGGCGGTTGCGGCGAGTGAACACCGATCTCACGACGCCGGCGCGTCGCCGCTACAAAAGGGGCGATCGGAGCTTCTGTACGTGAATAAAACCGCGCTAGAGTTTTGATTGGCTTACCGTTCCTATACTTTGCACTCCCGTCGTGTATTTTGTACCGTTTGTTGTTGTGAGGTTCTGACCCCGTGGCCCTGCTGGGGAATCTGTGAAAAATATCTTTGTAGCTCGTGGGATTCCTCCAGTACGAGTAAAGATGTTGATTCTGAAAATATGAATGATCGGCAACGTCTCATAGTTGACGCCGTTCATTTGCACCAAATAGTTTTGTTTTAGATTTGAAGTTTTCGTGACTGCAAGGGTCCATACTCTTTGGTTTTTTCGGTAAAGTCACGTAGGTAGAAAAAAATAAAAAATCACGACGTTTCGAAGGCAACACAAGCTTCCTGTATCACTTGATACAGTAATTTTGCTGTGACGGTGCCACCTGAAGACGGAAGCTTGTGTTGCCTCCGAAACGTCGTGATTTAATTTATTTGTTCTTTTTTTTTACCTACGTGACTTTACCAAAAAAACCAAAGAGCATAGTTTTGTTTGTTGAAACTTTGATTTCATTAGTACTGCAATAACGAAAGTAAATGACTTTGGGGCATCGGGCATGGGAGGTTATTAAACACCTCCACCCAATGCCCCTTTTCACAGTTACACAAGAGGCGGCAGCATCAATGGTATTGGTCACAAGGAACTTGGCTTTCAGGGAATACCAAATGTCTTGCTCCAACGGGACGCCCTGTACTGAAGCCTTGGGCCTAGGTGTGTATATTCAGAGGTAGTGTTGGCCCATTAGGGGGCCTAAACAGACTCTTTTGTATGCATGTTGAACTTCTTTCGCACCGTTCATAGCCAACCGTGCTAAGCTAATCGGAGGTGCGGGGGAAGGACAACCCCTCTAGTGAGACAACAGAAGGTATACATATTAGAGACGTCGCGAGATGGGAGAAATATGGACAAAAGATTGCGAGGTAAGAGAATAAATAGAGAGACGAGACATGAATGTAATGTTTTATTTGTATTATTTTATTATTTTTTTTAATTTCCATTCTACGTGACTTTACCGAAAGAACCAAGAAGATGAATCCCTGCAGTCACGAAAGCTTTAAATCGAAATTTAAGAGAATAGAGCTTAGTGCAAGCTGAGATAGATATGGCAGAGATTATTAGCACTGCCATTTAATTAGATATTCACGTTCATTAGGATTTGACCGAGTTGATATTTTGTTTACCGCTAGTTGTGTTTTTTTATATTGAATCCGGGGCCCCCTTGAGTTACTCGGGTCCCTAAGCTTGTGCTCGGTTTGTTTGTGCCGAGCGCCACGACAGCTGCTAGTGGAATCAGAGGGGGGACATTGTGTCTCCGCTTAAGGGCGACGGGTGACGATGCTATCGTATTGTGTGTGAATCACAATGCTTATTCATTTGTGTCTCGTGTGATTAATTCGAACTATTTCATAGACCAAGGATGCCTGGACAATTCTTTGTTGTCAGGATTCTATGAATTCGATTTTCTTTGTCTCGTGAATGAATTCAAGGACAACCTCCCCCCCCCCCCCCCCCACACTGCACAAGATAAACATTCCCCCGTATAGCCTGTAACAGACTGTTGGGGCAAGTGATGATCCTGAGTAGCTCCTTTGAAGGCCAGCACAGCACACGAGGGGGTCGGTGACCAGCACCACGCCCGGCCGCCTTTGCCTCCCTAGTGGCAATGTTTACATATTGCACCAGGTACTCATTTGAGGCTGAGTCGACCTAGGGGAGGCACCAGGACCGGTTCAGATAATTGTCGCTGGCGTTGGCCGTGAGCGGGAATCGAGCTCGCTTGGTTCGTAGCTCCGAATTAGATTTTTTTTTTGTCTCGTGAATGCATTCAACGTAGAAATAATGTTGGACGCACCTCCGATTAGCACGGTCGGGCTACGTACGGTGCGAAAGAAGTTCAACATACATACAGACACACAGACTGCACGCCCGCGCGCGCAAGCACACAATTACCAGCTTCTCCAACTGTCGGTAGGTGACACTGAAGTACTCGACCTTGACGGCACTGAAAGAAAAGGAATTTGTCGTGCGTACGTCAGGAAGGCATTCGGAGAAAATAAAATCACCTCCCCCTTTCTGGCTTCAAGGTGAAACCTCGCGATAGATTAACCCTGCAGCGTGACCTTGCTTAAAGTCACGCTGCGAGGGGAGCGGAGGGGGGGGTACAAAAACACAGGGGGTGTGGCGGGGGGGGGGGTTCAAAGATATAGCCAATGTTAAACTTCAAACAAACGTTAAACGGAACGAGTAACGATGAGATCTTCCTGTGTCTGTCGTGCATCGTGCTCTGCCTTTCATCCCCTGTGTGCTTGCGGAAAGGCTGAGAAGCCCATCGCTAAAGAACTACAATAATTTCTTTTCATTTTGTCTTGCCCCCCTCCCTCTGACAGCTTGTAATGCTCAGTTACATGCACGTCAGAGGTCGCAAACGGGTTTTGATTCCTTACCCGTACCTGTACCCGGCCGCACCAGGGTAGCAAATGGGTACCCGTACCCGTACCCTACCTGATACCCGGTTACCCGTACCCGGCCGGATATCGGGGAGGGTACGGGTATGGGTACCCGATTGCGACCTCTGGGATGAAGCCATGTTGCAGGCACGGGTGGGTTGATTCTAGGATCTTGAATTGTGAGAAGAGACAAGACGTTGGGAAATGAGTGACAAACGGTGACTCACCAGTGACTCACGGCTTACCCGTACCCATACCCGGCCGCACCAGGGTCGCAAACGGGTACCCGTACCCGTACCCAGCCGGGTACGGGTAGCCGGGTATCGGGTAGGGTACGGGTATTGGGTACCCGGTTGCGACCTCTGATGCACGTACAGGCGAGCCCGCAGGTGTAGCGCCTGTAAGTGGCGGCAAGGTGAGCCAGTGAGGGTATGGTGATTCACGCGCTCGCATTTTGTTCCGTTTGTATCTCGAACAGTTCTTACGCCAAGTGCCTTGACTCCCCCGGTGCCAAGGGTCTGCTTCATGTTCACAAATGACGGGAGTGGTGATGGATGTTGTTGCGGCCCATGGGATACCTGGCGAACATCTTGTTGTAGTGGTCTCTGTTTTTGTAGAGGTCGGAGAGCACCGCGTTCGTTATTTTAACCAGGCCCTGAAGTTTCTCTTCTTCACTCTGCCGGGTGGACAAGGGGGCGGCCACGGTGACTCTCAAGACATTTTGAAGAGTCAAACAAAAAGAGCACACACACTTATCGCTGACCAATCTACGTGAGGCCCGCAAACTATATGGAGCGGCGACTCGGGCGAGCGCTTGCCGTCCGCTGCCGTCGTTTGGCCTACTCCTCCACGCCAGCTCGACGACTTGGTAGAGGTGGGGGTGCCCGCACGTGACCCCCGCCACACGCGAACTGCCGATCAACTAATCATGGTGTTACCCATGTACACGATTCAGGGAAACTTCACCATCGTTTCAACCGCCGCACCACGAGATCGAATCCGCGAACTCTGGATTGCAAATCCGGTGTGATAACCATAACCCCCACAGCAAGAACTATCCTATTAAACAAAACAAAAATTCTGACATGAGGCAGTGTTCATAAAAAAAATGTAAAGATTACAAAAAATGCAAACGTTCTGCTCGATTCTATCCAGGCGATATGTATCCTTTAGATTTAAAGCTTTCGTGACTGCAGGGATTCATCTTCTTGGTTCTTTCGGTAAAGTCACGTAGAAGGGAAATAATAAAAGGACGGCTGCTTGCGTCGTGGCCGAAACATCGTGAGAATAGTATTTTATTATATTTTATTTTTATTATTTTATTATTTCCCTTCTACGTGACTTTACCGAAAGAACCAAGAAGATATGTATCCTGCTGAGGGTTTGTGGGCGAACCCTGTTGTTTTGAATAGTAGTCGTACAATGACATGCTTAAAAAAAAATGCCGGCAGCCTATCGCTTCACTTCTTTCCCCCTCAAAACCTCTAAGTGCAAAATTACTTTTGTGTCTGAACAAACTGCCCTGTCTGGATATAGACGAAGCAATGTGATTGGCTGAAGCCTCCGCTGTCTCCGAGCGCGAGCGGCTGTCATGATGAACACACCCCTGAGTCTGCGAGACGGAGCTAACAAAATCAGCACAATCAACCCGAGCTATAAATGCTCTGATACGTGCATTGGCTTTGTGCTGTTCGCCTTTTGGCGTTCTCTGGTCTGACACTGGTGAGACAAGGCCATAAAGAAGGCTGTCTCTGGTGTAGGCCAATCAGTTTCATAGACAATGGAATATACTATTATCAGAGCATGTTTATTTGCGTATTTTCCCGCAAATACGTGTGGTTAATGCAGGCTTGATTTCTTGCGAAAGGTATCTATTTTTATTGGGAGACAAGGTATACTCAGGGGAGTAAGGTATAAGCTATTCTTATTTTTAAATAAAATAAGTATTACGTTCAGATGAGCTGATTCACAAGAGTGCTTTCGGGTTCAGGTTGCACAACAACCTGGCGAGATTCGTGCCGTTAAGACCTTCCACCACCCGAAGCATCCTATCAAATGGTTAATTTGCGCAAGCGTGTGACAAGCAAGCTTGCTATGGTTACAGCCCACGAGAATTATTCTCACAATTTTAGCCATATCATTAGGTGGCCTAACCAAACAAAAAATACGATCACAATATTAGCGGCGAAGATCTACGAGATTTGGTAAATTCTCGACCTCTGGGTACCACTGCAATGTCCGTCTGGGATATCTGCCCTCCCCCATTCTGCACACTCGCCCCACGCATCACATTACATCCACAGGACATTACTGACACATTCCATTACGAACTTCCAAGTTGCTTTCCCCATCGCTCCATGAAATTCCGGGCGCGCTCCGCATGCGCCTGCTTTCAAAAGCTACGGTTTATTTCTCAGTTGTGCCGCTAAATTCTCTCGGAGCCGTATGGTCACACGGACAAATAGCGTCAAGCATTCAGGTAAATCCAGGTACCTTCCCGCCCGCCTTGAACGTCGAGTTCATCTGCTCGTACCACTCCTGCGTCCCTTTCTAAAACACAAAACGACAACAAACGAGGCATTGAAAAAAATCACATCTACCCATGGATTCTGTAAACATTTCTCACATGCATTGGCCTTCAGAAGTCTTTACTTACACAGTTTAGTTGTGAATATGGAAGCCGACGGATAGCTGTCAGCGAAAAATGCGTTCGCATGTATGTAAAAAAATAAAAAATTTGAGTGCTCTTTATTGGTAAAAAAAAAAAGCTTTTAGTGTTGATTTTTTAAAATAGTTTTGGGCAAAAACGTAAGAGACATTTACAGCCTTTTGTTGTCAATCTACTGCTGGATGAGGGCACCCCCCTGCTGTGTGCGCCATGGGGGGGGGGGGTGTTATTTGGTGGTGGATGGGACGGGGAGGGGAGGGGCGAGGGGGGTGGGGGAGAGGGCCAGGACTAGTTCAGATACCACTGATGAATCGAATTCAGGCCAGCGGCTGCACAGGGCAGTGCGTTAACCACTGCCCCACCGGTCCTGCTACGCGGCACTGTGCTTGCGAGTGGCCCTCCTCACCTTGATGACGCTATTGATCTCCAGGTAGAGGTCGTTGTGGAAGGGACACGCCTTCTTGAACACCTGCGTGCCGTAGAACTCCGACAAACACCTTCGTAGAGAGGCACAAAACGTTGCAGAAGAACCATCAGCTCCGACATCGTAAAACAATGATGTTTACTTAAACATCCCTATATTTACAGTATACATACTGTGCATATCCAATATAAACAATTTGGGGTGAGTGTATATGCATGCGCCATTTTGTATATAAGTACCCACGGCACACCAGGGGAAGGGGAGTTAAGTAAAGGATATGATGAATGGAAATATAAAAAGGAATAGGAAAGGGAAGAGAGGAGAGAAGACTAGGAAATACGAGGAAGGGGTTGGAATAGAAACTGAAAAATAGGACCAAAGGGTCAGGAAATATGAATAAAGATTAGGATAGGGAGGGAGCAGTGTGTGTTTTCACATGGGGCGGGGAAAGGGGAGGGATTCAGAGTGGGGGGTGGCCACACAGAAGTCACGTGACTTAGGGGAGGCTTGAGCTCATGATGATATAGATATGTACTGCATTTCCCTTTGCCTTCAGCCAAATTTACTTACATTTTATTACCTTTTACACACGTTTCTCCATCGCCTCTTACCGCCATCTAATTTTTTTGGTCCATATTTTAAAATCGTTAAAGCGCAATTCACCATCTTCAATTGGCTATATTTAATGTGCCATTAAATCACCGTAAAATGTAGTCGACATTTGTTACATTTTAAGTGACCACAGGCCACGTGTGTGGCCACTGCCGCAAACTTGGCCGAGAGACGAAACAAAACCAAAAAAAGTTACCAGGTAAATCCCACTGAGCGATATCGCTCTTTTGCAGAAGCGACCTGGCCACAAATGATAGCTCAATAAAGCGGCTTATCAAATACTCTGAACCCATACAAATTCTAAATGTAGAGGGAAAAAAATGAAGGACCCGGAGAAGAATCCACGCGACCACCAAAAGAGAGAGACATGAAAACTCCAAAAAATACAGCGGGGCGTCAGAATTGGGATTGAACCTACGACCTCCTGTATACCAGGCGAGGTAGTTCATGTCTCGCCACCGTGGCGCCGTGGCAACATCGCCGAAAGCATGACTACCAAGAAATGCTCCACACGCGGCCTAACCCCCCCGGGAAAGTTTAACACGTAGCAGGCTTTCGCGACCAATATTATTCATAATCAACGTTTTTGGGTTTAGATCGCGTTATTTATAAATGTGTCGTAACCCTCCACCACCTGACACGGCCAATCAGTAAAGAAGTGTCACGTTGACAAAAGACAAATAGTTCACTGCTTTAGCCCACCGGTGTGTTGAAGCGTGAAACCACAACATTTACAATTTTTGAGTAGTACGACGTTTCGCTGGTAATTGCATCCGGCATCATCGGGCAAGTCCGCACCCGGATCACCTTTCGCGCTCAACGCCGTCGGAACCTTACCCCAGAAGCGCCTCCAGGCGGGACGTGGCCTCGGGGTTTGTTGGCGGGAACACGTCACGGATCTTTCGCAGCAAACCCAGGCAGAACTCAAGGAAGCCGTTGAAGCTTTCGGCCAAGCTCTGCTGCTGCAACACACGCCAACGTACACCGGCCATTGTACACGCGCAGCCCCTGGGGACGGGGGGCCTGCCCGCTGGGGCCGCCACCACCACCGAGGTTGAAGGAAAATTCGAGAGATGTCGCAGGAAGATGAACATCTCGCAAATACTGGACGGTGGTATAAACTGCAGTGGTGTTTTTTGTTTTGTTTACGATTGTTCAGCACAGTGCAGAAAGGCATAAAATTACCAGGTGGCCGAAACAAACAGCACTGTTAAATAAAATAAATCACGACGTTTCGATCGCAACACCAGCGGTCGTCCTCAGGCGGAAAAAATATAATCCAGCAGTGGAACTGCTAGATTGTTTTGCGATCGAAACGTCGTGATTTATTTTATTTTCTACCTACGTGACTTTACCGAAAGAACCAAAGAGGATGGGTTCCTGCAGGCACAAAAGCTTCAAATCAAGATAGCACTGTTAAAGTTGTATTAGATTAGAATTTAACACATTTGTTGAATTGAGCACAGTTATTTTAAGAACTCTGGAAAAAGAGACGATGGGAGGAAACGTCATGACGTGTAACGTGGTGAGTAAATGGGTGAGTGGGTGGGTGGGTGAGTGTGTGGCTGAGTGAGTGGGTGAGTGGGTGGGTGAGTGGGTGTGTGGCTGAGTGGGTGGGTGAGTGGGTGATTGAGTGAGTGGCTGAGTGGGTGACTGAGTGAGTGGGTGAGTAAATGGGTGAGTGGGTGATTGAGTGTGTGGCTGAGTGAGTGGGTGAGTAAATGGGTGAGTGGGTGGGTGAGTGGGTGATTGAGTGAGTGGGTGAGTAAATGGGTGAGTGGGTGATTGAGTGTGTGGCTGAGTGAGTGAGTGAGTGGGTGAGTGGGTGATTTAGTGTGTGGCTGAGTGGGTGACTGAGTGAGTGGGTGAGTGGGTGGGTGAGTAGGTGATTGAGTGAGTGGCTGAGTGGGTGACTGAGTGAGTGGGTGAGTGTGTTGTTGTGACCTGCATTTCGGTGGCTCAACACAATGTGGATGACATGAAACAGTCAATCTGGTAGACCGAGTTCTGAACGCAGCTGCAGGAATCAATGAGTGATGTTCAGAGAAACGGTAACCGTGGTAGTAGCAATAGAAGAGCGATAAGGAGGAGAACTGACCACCGGTAAGTGAGTGACCGTAGTGAATCAATGACGGCTGGATCATCAATCAACCGAACTGCTTTACGCAATTAGGAAACTGACAAAAATCTGGACTATTAATGTTCCCAGGAAGACTTACCGGTTTTCCAGGACCTCCACCGCAACAAAAGGACGATCCTGGGAAAACCAGGCCAGGTGGCCACCCTTACTCCTCACGCCTATTCCCCCCCCCCTTCCCACCCCCCTTCCAGGTGATTTCGTTCCGCCATCTCCGCCACCACTGCTGGGGCCACAAGGCGCCTCGTACGGAGGGGACGGTGTGGAGCGGGGCGCTCACCTGCTCGTGAGCCACGGACGCGTCCTGGAAGCTCTGCTCCACTTGCTGCAGGGCGTTGTGCAGGCACGTGTAGCTGATGGCGTTCGCCTGGTGGTACTTGCTGTAGGCCTGCCAGTGCCTGCAACAGGAAGCGCTTTTAAGCAGGCACTACACCCGCTACCAACAATGGGCCAAGCTCTACAGACCTCTACGTGTAACGATGTTTTCAGCCAATTAACGGGTGCCTATACTTGTGGGCGGAAACCCGAGCACCCGGAGAAAACCCACGCGCGCAAAGAGGGCCATACTTCACACGCAGGTAGGGGAAGGCAGCGTAGTACAAATGTTGGGAGCATCTCATCCAATGCAGTCAACTATCGGTTAACGGGGGTAATTGTGGGGGCGGTGGGGGGGGGGGGGTTGATTTGAAGTGGCCTAGACAAAAAAATACGTGGGCTAATGGAAGACGTAGGTAGACTACGCTGTAAGAGACGTGGCCTTGCGATGGCCTGCTCAACGCAGCGCGATTTCTCAAACGACTGCTCCAGGGGTTTTTGTGTTTTCCTCATGAAAGCGAATAGCAAATAACTAATGCCGCAAATATACGTTTTTGCATCATTCTTAACTTAAATGCGAATTGTAAAAAAATAGAAGAAAGAAAACCTGCATTCGGATGTTGTCGCGCAAAGTGGTTACTCGGTGGATGTTAACACGGACGAATGTGCCCTGGGTGTAAATTAAATTTCTTGCCAATTACTGGCAAGAAATGATAAATGTGCGCTTCTCAAAACACAACAACGGTTGTGCATAAAAAAAAAACCCTGGCGCGCGCATCTTGCAAGAGCCTTAATTAATCCTTGGTAAATTACATCAGTGGCTTCTCTCCACCGTGACGTTAGCTGAGATTGTGCCACAGAGAAAACAGGCGATTGCTTTTTCAACTGTTATACTGCATTATCAACAAAACCGGTTTATAACGCACCGAATTGTCCAGATTGAAAGACACGCCGGAAAGAAAGACGCATCCCAGACTTTGGGGTACAGTTGTGTATTATTTTTTTTTAAGCGTGTTCTATCGCCTCTCTCCTCTTCCCTCCTCCGATCGTTACCCCCTAAATCGGTAGGGCGGCGAGCCCAGATGCCCTCGTTCAATCCACAATGTTGAGTGATGGTGCATTACGCCTGGCCTGTTATATGCTGCGTGTTGTTGCCAGCCTAACCCTTTTGATATTTCCCACTGCATTGTGGGTTCTTGAAAGACAATATTAAACGCTTACAACAACAATAAAGCGTGGTCTATAATCGCGAGAAAAATATGGTACTGCTGTGGTGGAGCTGACTACCAGAAGGTGATTATGAAAGCGCCGCTTTTAAAACGGCAAGAGATGTACGCACGTACGCTGAACCTCTTTCGCACCGTACGTAGCCAACCGTGCTAATCGGAGGTGCCAGGATGTCTTCTGGAAGGTGATTCCGGTCGGCTGGAGGCGGTGTCTACCGTCACCTGGGTGGTCGTGTTACTGCGTTGCTATCCGGAACATTCTTCACGAAGGTGATTTTGAACAACTAGATTCCAGATTAAAACACATCTTCTGCAGAACAGTGCAGTCTCCCGATTTCGAGACACACCAACCCCTGCCCCCCCCACCAACTTTTGCTTTAAAATACAGGGAGAAAAAAAAGGCGTATCTTATAATCCAGATAATATGGTAATAATGAACCGATAAAATAATAAAAATAAAACATAATAAAATAATGTATTGTTTTATTTTTATTAATTTATTACTTCCCTTCTACGTGACTTTACCGAAAGAACCAAGAAGATGAATCCCTGCAGTCACGAAAGCTTTAAATCGAAAAATTAACCGATACTTTCATACTCTTTGGTTCTTTCGATAAAGTCACGGAGGTAGAAAATTAATAGATCACGACGTTTCGATCGCAACACAAGCAACCGTCATCAGGTGAGATAACCACAGCAGCAGAGCAGCAGTTCACCTGCTGTGGTTGTCTGAGTCGACCTACGGGAGGCCCAGGACAGGTGCAGATATTCGTCACTCTTATTGGTTGCGAGCGGGAATGTAACTCGGTTCGTAGCGCAGCGCGCTAACCACTGCGCCACCGCTCCCCCATAGTTAGTAGTTACGTATGTATGTACGCTGAACTTCTTTCGCACCGTACGTAGCCAACCGCGCTAATTGAGCGAGACCCGCCTTGCAACACGGGCACAGTAATTAAAACGTCTTATAAAATCATTGACGCTTCAATTGCTCCCGTAATTAATTGCAAATCGGATGCCATTTCGGCACAGGTTGACCACAGGGGATGCACAAATGTGTCCGTAAGCACGTGCATGTGACCCGAGTCAAAACCATCACCCCGACTCAGAGCTCCACACGGATGGATTCCAGAATCCATTGCTATACTTGCGTGGTGCCACTCAAAGCTCCACACACAGATTATATCTAACAGTATATGAATATGTGTTTTGGATCAAAACATGTTGGACATATTGGTAATGACGGTAATGATGAAGACAATGATGAAAATAATGGTAATGACGATGGTGGTGATAACTGTGATAAAAACAATGTGCTAATCGGAAGTGCGAGCAATGATGATGATGATGATAAAAACAACGATGAGAACGATGATGATGATGGTGGTGGTGGTGGTGGTGCTGGTGGCAATGGCACTCACAGTATTGCCTGCTGGGCAGGAGGTATGTCCGTCTGCACGGCATGCTGGTGCAGGACCGTCTTGGCGCACTTGGACAGCTCACCATCCCACGTGCTCAGCCCGCCCTGGGGTCGGGAGTTCAACGTCACATCGAGCTGGCTCCACTCCCTGTGTGCTTGGAGCTCGTGCTCAGCAGGTGTTCACCCAAAACAAGCCTTGCATTGATTGCATCTTACAAGTGAAACCACCTACCACATCTACCCCCCCCCCCACCCCCGACCGCCCTCTAATTTCACTGTTCTCTCTGTTCACGCGCTCTCCGCTTCAGCAATAGAAGTATTCTGTTGAAGCCCCCAATGAATTGACACTCAGTGGAAGGTCACTCCAGCTTCTCGGCTGCCCTTGTAATTTAGTAATTCCCTCTGCGCAGCCACCCAAAGCCATCTGTGCTGCTCAAATCCAGGATCGAGTCCTTCTATCCTCTTCTCTTAGATTGACAGCTCTCTGTCCTCTTAAAAAAAAATGCTATTACATGGAGCGGTGGTACGGTGGTTAGCGCCTTTGCAACTGTGAACCCAGCGACCGAGAGTTCGATTCTCGGCCACGGCCAACATCAGTGGCGAGTGATATCAGAACCGGTCCTGGCCTCCCTCCTCCCTCCGTCGACGAGCATCGCACTGACCAGCAATGGTGAAGTGGGTCAAAGAAAAAAAAAAACCCATAACTGACGTGGCATGGGAGGCCTTCATCGATTGGGTGGATTGAGAACGGCTGGAATGCATTAACTTCGTTTAACATATACGGCTTCTCTTCCGTACGATGGAACGTGCCGGATTATTTTGCACGGGCACCCTGTGTGCAGCAATTTCAGCTACGTATGGGCAGCAGTTTTGATTTCTTTATTTTTTATCTTCTTGGTTCTTTCGGTAAAGTCACGTAGAAGGGAAATAATAAAATAATAATAATAAAACATAATAAAATACAATTCTCACGACGTATCGGCCACAACGCAAGCAGCCGTCCTTAGGTGAGTGCCATTGCCACCAGCACCACCACCATCATTATCATCATCGTTCTCATCGTTGTCTTTATCATCATCATCATCATTGCTCGCACTTCCGTTCTCCACCTGAGGACGGCTGCTTGCGTTGTGGCCGAAACGTCGTGAGAATTGTATTTTATTACGTTTGATATTTTTATTATTTTATTATTTCCCTTCTACGTGACTTTACCGAAAGAACCAAGAAGATGAATCCCTGCAGTCACGAAAGCTTTAAATCGAAATGTATTTATTTATCGTCGCTGTGGTGGTGGTTGTGCAAGACGGACGATGACGCCGCACATCATCGATGACGACCATGGCCGCGCTAACCAAGCTGCCGCCCGGCTCGACCCCAAACACAAACCCGCCGGAATGAAGAAATGGCGCCCTTATTTTTGCGCTTTCATTATTTAATTGTTCAATTGATGTTAATTTTGTTTTTAAATGCCAGCAATTGATATACATCGCAAAGTACGTTTCGGTTTCAGTGAAATGTTATAGCAACAATAAAAAAAACTCAACACAATAAGAGTGCCCTCAAAGGAACACATTTACATAACAGGCAACGTTTAAAGCCGATTATGTATTTTTTTCCCCTTTAAAGGCCACACAGTGTTATTATTGACGAAGGGATTGAGCGTTTTTTGTGGTTATGATGCTTAACGCACCACTGTCAACGCAGCGTGCAGTAGCATTTAAAAAAAAACACATTTTCGTTTAACTACATCCAAAACTTTGACCTAAAACTTTCGTGACTGCAGGAATTCATATTCTTAGTTCTTTCGGTAAAGTTACGTAAATAGAAAAAAAATAATGATAAAAAAATATTTAAAAACCCACGACCTTTCGATCGCAACACAAGCGGTCTTCATCAGGCGGAGAGAAAAGAGGGGCAAGCCTCCAAATGTAGCTGCTTTTAAGGGTTTTTTGTTTTCTATTTCCGTGACTTTACCGAAAGAACCAAGCATATACATCCCAAACGTTAGTCGTTGATTCATTTTCATATTCCAATCTGTTTCCCGGCCATCTGAGCAAATATTTATATGCATATCCGAGTAGGGACATTTTATCATTTTGATACCGTGCTGCATTAATTTGCAAGTAAACACGGATTTTTCACAGCTTTTTTTTAATCGCAATTCATAAGTGCGAGAAAAATCCGGTTTATTTCGCTGAACAAGCGGTACACGGCGGTGCTGCTTCTGCGTGCACTTATCTCGTCGGGGGGGGGGGGGGGGGAACGTGCGGTGTGTTTCAAATGACACGTCCATTAACACCGCCAAGCCGGTCAGTACGGGGTTAGCCAAAGGTGGGAGTACCAGGATCGTTTGAAACATCACTCAAAGCCGACGTTTGCTATGGTTGTGAATCGAAGCCAGGTCGCCGAGACTCATGGCGCACCGGCGCTAACCGCTGCTCCGCCGCTCCTCCGCCAAAATTGCTAAATTATTTTAAATGCCATTTTTGACGCTGTACCTTGGCTAATTTCAAATCCTTCATTTCCCAGTGACACAAATAATTAACAATGGCACAATCCCAGCACTGTTTTAGATTCAATTAAAACAAATTAATGAAACCCGACATGCTTTAGAGTTTAAATGAACACGTCTCTGTACGCGTTTACACCGTGATTGTATATTTTAAAAGTGATATTTCGTTTATCTTGTTCATTTCATCGGGTGTCCTTTATTTAATGAGTTGAGAGCCCACCTCCCACCCACTGTCTGCATTGCAAAAGAAACGAGGGATGGCCCCAGGTACTGGGTTGAAAATTGGGAGAACATTGGACCGGAGCCCCCCATTAATTCCACACACCAGGGCTCCTGCCGCCCGGGTTACGCCGCTGACACTCGTCGACGGGTAGACAGAAGGGAGCAGTGGCGCAGCGGTCGGTGCACTGCACTCTGAAACCTGCGACCTGGTCGCGGGCTAACATCAATGACGAGCGATATCTGAAATAGTCCTGCAACCACCCACCCCCCACCCACCCACCCACCCCCCCCGTCACCAACCATATGCTCAACTTCTTTCGCACCGTACATAGGCAACTGTGCTCATCGCAGGTGCGATTAGCACGAACAAACGTTGGGCAGCATGGCCAAACGGCCCCCACGATCGAGCCGGCACGGGAAGGCCTTCATTCAGCAGTGGATCGACAAAGGGCTCCACATTTGTATTATAATGTTCACATGATGGCCAACTGTTGAGAAAGACATCATAGCAGTCCCTGACGCCCCTCTCAAGCAGATGCTTCACACACGCTGGCAATGCACTGTGCATTTAATATGAGGACCTGGGGTTGAATTCCCAGAGACTTGCAAATGAGCTACTTATTCCAGAAGGAACTTTCCTGATGACTATGCTACACTGCCACACGTGGCTTTTAATATATTGATTACTCATCTTATTGCTATGAGCACTTATCACAAAAGCTTGCTGAATGGGAAATTAGAGGCTCCAATGAAGATGATTTCATTCCACGGTAATATTAATGTCATATTTTTTACAATATTAATTATATCATATTTGTCGTTCAAGGCCTCGGTGAGGGAAAAAAGGCAGAATATCAAACGCAAAAAAAAGCTAATTAAAGTGTTTGAAAGAGATTATTTAATATGTTTCTTTGTCCTGCACTAGGCCTCGGTGGCCAATTTACAGTATTTCAGGAATTGAGGCCGCTTGCCAAAGGGCTAACGAGCTTGACATTCCATTATTTGAGGTCAGAGCAAAGCTCCATCCCGCCATTTGTCTGCGGACGCTAATGAGGCAGTTGAGAAAAGATCTTTGAAAGCGGCAAAACCTGGAAGAAAAAATAAATTGGGACCACCTCACCTGCACAAAAGGAGGTCAATCAATAATTTACATAATTGTGAACAAAGACTGACCGGACGTTTGGAAGACAAGCCACATGGAGTTGCTACAGCACGACGGACGAGTGTCTTATCTAGCCTGTGATGTTTTTATTGCGGTTATGGGTAATTAACTGGCGATAATCCGTCAGGTTTTTTAATCAGGGAAACATGGGGAGATGGCAGTTCACATTGCGACGACATATGTTTCAATATTCGATGGTGATAAGAATAGTTAATTGTGTCGAACAATGTGTGTTTTTTTTTAGGAATTCATCACTGAAAGAAAAACAACATGCAGACAGGCTGTTGTGCGGTGCATGCGGTGTCTGCAGTTTGTGCGGTGCGTGTGGTTTGTGCGGTGCGTGTGGTTTGTGCGGTGCGTGTGGTTTGTGCGTGTGGTGCATGCGGTGCATGCAGTGCGTGTGGTTTGTGCGGTGCGTGCAGTGCGGATGACTGTGCACGTGCCTGCATGTTGTGCTGGTACGCGATGAAGTGTTCCATCAGCATCTCGTACACCGTCACGTTGGAGACCTTTTTGCTGAGCAGCGTGTCCCTCTACAAGTGAGCAGGCACACGCACACGCACGCACACGCGCGCATATTCACGCGCACGCACACACGCAAACACACACGCACGCACACACACACGCACGCACGCACACACGCACACACACACACACACACGCACGCACACACGCACACACACACACGCACGCGGCACACTTGACAGCATGCAGACGCAGCAACGCAGGGACGTGTGAGCACGGTCGGGCTGGGAGAGGAGCCCCCAATTAAAAAATCCCTGTTGACACGGGGTGTCGGAGCTCATGGAATTAATTTTAACAGTGACAAGTTTGCATTAGTATTTACACGTTTTTTTTTTCAATATTAATACTTATAGCCCATTTTTTATATTAAAAACGTATAAACACTGCCACTTAGTTGAGAGTTGATGCACGACGCTTGAAAACCACGTCGTTTGTGTTAAAACAGAGCCGCGCTACATCCTATCCCCTCCGGCTCCATCTCTCTCCGCCCACAGTCAACCCAAGCCGCCTGGCGTCCCATCGCTCGCAGCGAGCCCGCGCACGCACGCGTCGCGACATCCGCGTCACGCGCTGCTCTGCAGCCCGCCTGCCGACGGGCATGCGGGTGGCTCGGCGGCATGTCTTGCCTGCGACGAGGTGAGGTTGAGCAGAAGGTGGCACCAGCCCTGCACCTTGGACGAGCTGGTCCTGGGCTCCAGCTTACACCACTTGTCCACCCCCGTGGACGGCAGATCCTGGCACGGCAGCATAAGGGCCGGCGATCAGAGAGCGAGCGCGCACAGTGCGGTAAAACGCTAAAGTTGTGCAAGGTGCAACCGTGCAATTTCTCGCCCGTGCCCGCCGCGCCCCCCACCCAGAGGGAGCTTTAGAGAGAACAGCAGGCTTGAGACACGTTAAGGCGAGATGTACGTGGCGTGCCGAGATCGTTCCCGGAACAGCGTGCCGAGCCGTCCGCGCGTTGAAATCAAGCGCGGGTTGTTACTTGGGGAGGCGGGGAAGGTCGCGGTGGCGGTCTCGTCGTGAGCGATGGGAGCCGACTCGGTGGGGGCTCACATTCAGTGGGATGTCGAGGCATCCCAGGAAGTCGTCGACGTGCTCCTCCGCCGAGCCGGACGCGTTGGTCGTGCGGGCGGACTTGACGATCTGTTTGAAATAGCTGAACGGGAGCAAGAGACAGTGCGCAGGGACGGTGGGGGCCGGCGGGTGAGGTATGTTGCAGTGGAAAACACTCGCAGGCAGACAACGTGCGCAAAGAGCTTCCCTGTATTGCTCGACGGCAGGGGTGGAGCAGTGGGACACGATGAGCCTTTGTTAGCCGGCCTTACCAAACTCCCCTCCCTCCATCATCCTGCACTGACCAGCATGGTGAAGTATGGATACAAAAAATAAACTCATGACCAATATGGAGTGGCGAGGGCTTCATCTATCGGTGGGTTGAGACTGGCAGCACTCATTTGTATATTTTTACATCCGAGAATTTTTTTTAAAAATCCGACCGTATGACGTCACGGGTAATTACATCACATACTGCGTCACATCTCTGCCTATTCACTGAACAGTGGTGTCCCGTAGCATCGTGTGATGCTACTTTTGTGAGCATGAAAACACGACAGCGTAGTCCGTAATAAAAAAATTATCCTGATTTAAAAAAAAAATCTGAAACGTTCCATAAATATCTGAAAATCCAATATGACAAATGTGAGTTTCAACCCCTTACGACACAACTAGCTGGTACCACCAAGTGGCCGGCGCTTGAGTGTTCATCGTACATAAGGTGCACACTGGGTCATCTGTGGTCACAACAGGCAGGTGGGGCCACTTGAAATCTTTACGCGGGCGTAATGGCGGAGTCATAAAACCGCCCGCTCCACGCTACATAGCAAGGTCGCGTCGCGCGAAAGTAAAGAGGGCTGCTCATCAGAAGCTCCACATCTGGGCGTTGGCGAGCAATAACGGCGGAGTGGGGTGTAAAAACCGATCCCGTACGGAGGCACGTTCGGCTGCTTTCCACGTTTTATTGGCGCGGGATTGGGGATGGAAAAATATGTGACGGCCAAGATTAACTCGGCACATGCAGTAAAGTTTGGGCTCCAGGATACCGCACGGACGGGACGCAATCCAGCTTTCTGAAAAAAATATATATATAAACGTTGATAACAGATCGAGCGAAAACAGATAAGTTTCCCCTCCCCGGGATCGGTGAAGCGAGGAGCAGCAACGGAGAGATGCCACTTGGGGTCACGCAATTCCGATGCCACTCGCCGCGGCCGCGTTTGCGCTGCGTGAACGCTCCCCAAAGAACAGCAAAACGGCGGCGCGTGGGGAGAGAGACGCCCGATCTCGCCCCTTCCTGTCCCGTCTGGCAGCAACAATAGCGGCAGGAGCCTGAGAAAAGCGCCCGCCCGGCCGGCCGCACGCCCGCCTATGATGCGCCGCGGAATCAAAACACGCACTCTCGTACGGCTGTCGCCGAGCGGAAAATAAAAGTGAAATGTTATCCATAATAGAGGTTTCCTTTGGGTTAGGTCGCGTAAATATATAAATGTGTCGTTAAACCCGCCACCACCCGACACGGCCATTTAGTAAGGTTTGTCACGTCAACAAAACGTGCCAATTCGTTACTAGTTCAGCACACACCGGTGTGCTGCGGTGTAAACCCACAACGTTTACAATTCGAGTCCGACGTTTCGCCAGCAATTACAACCAGCCTCATCAGGCGACAGCCAGAGTTGTGGAGAAATCCTCCTCCTGTTTTCGGTATAAAATAGAGGGACAGATGTGAACGTCATGACTTGTGAGCCAATCACGCGCGAAGACCAGAGGGGGGAGCGGGGGTTAATGTATTCATATAAATTACAATCGATCTCTATTTTATTGGTTGGGTTATTCACAATCAAAGCAAAGGGCAATGCTGGTGGGAGAGCCGATGGCCCGTTGCGACGCGCGACGACCTTGATGCCCAAACCTAAAAACACCGCGATTTGCAAGCGGAACAGCGGCGGTGGGCGCGCCGGCCGGCCGTGTGCTCAACCGATTTCACGCCAAACCCCCCTTCATTAGGCGGAGGTGCCGCAATCAATGGGGTTTTCATTAGCGCCGCTGTTTTGAGCTGCGCGCTATACCCCGCGTAACAAGTCTGCCCGGGCGTCAATTTGCCGTTGAAATCATCGAAAACGAAAATATCAATAGAGCAGAGAGAGCTTGATTTTATAAGACGGCAAGGACGCCGCTTGTTGTGCAACAACAACAACAACAAACCGAGGTAAAGGTGCAGCCCCTGCAATTTCTGACTTGTGCCACAGCTGGTTGGAAGTGACGCCAGTCGAGGCAGCTATAACAGGGAGCCCCTCTCAAGCATATTTTTTGGCCTACTCTTCCACGGCTGGTCAGACTTATTAGAATAGGTGGTACATGTAATATATAAATAACAATTTACCGCCCTTTGTCAATCCAATGCTCAATGCGGGACTCATTCGGCAGCGGTAGTGGGACGTTTTTTGACCATATTTAATCCATCTGGTCAGTGAGGTTGGTGCAGGGGAAAGTCGGGGGGGGGGGGGAGTGGCGGGAGAGCCACTGATGTTAGCCGTGACTGGAAATCAAACTGACGTCACCAGGTTCACGGCGCAGTGTGCTAACCGCTGCACCACTTGCTCCCTTCAGAGGCCTAATAAGATCAAGCAGCCAGAAGGCACAGACGCGTCAGACAAATATAATCACAATCAAAATACCGATATACAAAAAAAACCACATTGGATCTTTCGACTAAATATCAGATTCTACTACATGGTGGTTTGCCAGTCAAGGAAGATGGAAACGCTAATTTCGACGAATTGGAAATATTGACGTCCCATTCTTAATCTGTAGCTTGGGCAGAAGAAACCGTCAATGTGCCAAGTTATCCGCAGCTCCTGCCGTTCGCTGCGTTTGAAGAGTACAAGACGTCTCACCGAGCGAGGGCATCACCGGAGTTTGCAGGTCAAGAAACAGGCACAACATCTGACCACTGTGTTCCCCAGTCCCCATATTCTACCGGAGATTACAACCGCGGAGAATGCCAAAAAATACACTCATCTGAAACGAAAAGGCGCCTTGGCGATTTTGTAAGCGCGGATTTGAAGTCACAAAGCAAGCCCGTCGTGCTTGTAGTTGGCTCCACTTTGTTTCCCCTCGAACTCAGGTCACCCGGTTCATGGCACAGCGTGCGCTAACCGCTGCGCCGCTGCTCCCTAAAGGCCGAGTAAAACTATAAATTCTAGATTTGAAGCTTTCGTGACTGCAAGGATTCATATTCTTAGGTTTTTTCGGTAAAGTCACGTAGGTATTCCTAACAGCGTGCTTCAGCCGCACCAAACCTCACAAAAATAATATTCAGGGCCTACCTTGGCTCCTCCCACCCTCAACCAGTATATATACAAGGACTGTTTTCTTGGAATTTCTCTCACTTGATACAGCTATCGTGCTGTGACGGTTCCACCTGAAGACGTAAGCTTGTGTTGCCTCCGAAACGTCGTGATTTTTATTTTATTTCTATTAATTTTCATTTTTTACCTACGTGACTTTACCGAAAAAACCTAAGAATATAAAACTATAAAGTTTGGTTGGGCGAAAGAGAACGTACACGCTGTACGTACACAGGCGTGTGTCGCTGGTGCGCGTGCGCCGGCGTGCGTCTCACCTGCCCATCCCCTTGAGGCTGTGCACCTCGTTGAGCTTGCTGCACGCCTCCACCACCGAGACGTCATCGTCGTGGTCCCTGTCCGGGTTTGGGCACACGCGGTGAAACAACCTCGACCCAACGCCGCCAACTCAATCCGGGGGTGGGGGGGTCACTCAAGTTTCAAGTTTTAAAGTTTCATTTATTAGGTGTAGCCCTGTGAGCCATTCGGCTCTTGAATCGGGTGCAACCGCAACAAACAAACAAAACAAAAACATGAACAAGAAAACATCTTAAAGTGACTATGTGCAAACAGAAAATCCAAGAAAAGACAGCAAAATATTGCAGAAAAAGTACCGTACACCAACACTGTGTGCAAAAATCCCAGTGGGATGCAAGTCAAACAACAACAACCACAAGACAACTTGGATTCAGGCCATCAGTCTAACTCTGTACTACAACAAACAAACATGGCCAAACCAAAAAACTTTTCAAAAATCACCAAAATAAAGTGGTCATTACATTTCTATTATTACAATTATTTTCCGTATTAATATTATTCTTTCAACGGTTTTTCTTTTTATCACATTCGTTACTGAAGATGCAGCATTGCACGGCTCAAAAAAATTCCGGAGAAAAGCGTGCCCCATTTTAAAACGCTCTTAACGGAGTCCGCCTTGAAAGCAGTCCGATTCACAATCAGAATCTTTCTGCGATGCAATTTCTTTTGTCCAAACAAAGTAAACACGTAGAAACACAGCCAGGACACAAAGGGCCGCCACGTGTCCGACACAGACCGATCGGTTGAGAGAAGAAATCAGATTTTAGATTTGAAGCTTTCGTGACTGCAAGGATTCATACTCTTAGTTTTTTCGGTAAAGTCACGTAGGTGAAAAATGAAATTAAAATTAATAAAAGTAATAATAGAAATAAAATTATATTACTTTTATTAATTTTAATTTCATTTTTTACCTACGTGACTTTACCGAAAAAACTAAGAGTAAGAAATCAGATGTCGACTAAGGCAGGAAAGAGACGCAGCGGAGAGGCAGAGGAGAGACGAGACAGAAGACGAGAAAATGAGGGCCTGAAAATAATCGGCGGTAAAACGACGGGAGCCAGGAACAGGTCAGCAGAAGGTATAACCGTACACCTCTGTGTGCGATTTAAAACAAGAAAATCAAGCATCAATTTGACTTGTCAAGCGACGAACCTTGCCCTCGTATGCAAAGCGGTTGAGAAGGTGCCGCCCTCTACTGTGTGAAACCAGAGGTCACTTGAAGGGAACTCAGCGGTAGCTCTGTGGTATCCGCTTACCCCGGCGCCGTTCTCTTACACAGAGGGACGCACTGCTCGTGACGTGACACTCACTGATAGCACAATGAGGATTACATTCTAAATGTTGTTTATTAAAGGAGGACTTACCATATGTCGAGGTGAAGCGTATCTGTTTGAATATCGTCAATGTCTCTGAAAAGGAAATGTCCACACATGCGAATATTAAAAGGCCAATTGTGTTTTTTTTGTATGTGCAGTTTTTGAAGTCGCACCCGTTACTGAAGACAACGCATTGTGCGAGTGACACACCATGGAGGAAAGGCCTGCCCACGTGAATGTCATGGTTGTCACACGACTAACAATGCCGAGGTAGCCAGCTCGATCTGTCGGCTAAGCAGTTGAAGTTTGTTTAACACGCGGTAGGCTTTCGCGACCAATATCATCCATAACGCGTAAATATATAAACATATCTGGCTGCCGCCTGATGCAGCGAGTTGTAATTACTGGCGAAACGTTGTGCTCAGATTGTAAATGTTGTGGCTTGGCTCTCCAACACACCGGTGTTGCTGTACTCGTGACGAATTGGCCACGTTCTGTTTTCGTGGCGGGTTTAACGACACGTTTATATATTTAAGCGATCTAACCCAAAAACCCTTTAACATCACCGCCTCTGTTCACCCAACAGCACGAATGGGTACCCCGCCCATAGTCCATTGGCAGGTCACGTGTCGTGGAGTTAAAGTGTGGGCACTCCCACCTCTTCAAAGATGTTTGGCCAGGGTAGAAGAGTAAGCCAATACCGTCGACAGGGGCGCTTTAGAGCTGCCTCGAGTGAATGCCCTTCTGCCGGCAGTCGCGTGAGTAAGCAATTGCAGGGCTGCACCTTTACCCCATATAACAAGAAGGTGTGCTGTCCTATAACAACTTTTTTTTTCTTCATAAAAGCTATCACAGCAACCTTGCTATCATACATATTTGTGATCTAGAGAAGAAACGCTTCGAGGTAATTAATGTTAGCAGTCGCCACCCTCGGGGGTACCTACATGCCATGCTTGGGCCAACATCTCAAGGGCGAAAGCTGCCAGGATGTGGAGAAAAAACCTCGTACGTCGTGCCAACACCGCGGTGCAATCCGAACAAAAACACATCTGAGAGCTATGCAAGGAATTGCATTTTGAATAAACCTACCCAAACGGCGTGCAAATGTGCGGTTAGCGTAGCATTCGAGCGTGCCATGAGAACCAACTTGTTTAGCCAGGAGAGATTTAATTTCATCGCAGCTGCCGGTGGGGAGAAAGAACACGCACGAGCTGCCGTGATACCCAGGCACACCACTCGGCAGGTCACGCGGAATGTGCGCTCGCCCGTTCGACTCCACAATGTTCTCTCCGTTATTTTTATTCTTTTATTCCCCACCCGCCGCCCGAAGTCTGGAGATAATTTCGTGAAAGTCTTCACGCCCACATCCCCTCGTGGGCGCTTGGGAATCCACTCAAGGCGCGTTTATCACACGCCGCGGTGTTTCACACGCCTCGCCGTAGACTCGGCAAAAACTTCACGCGCGCCGGAGCGCAGCTCTGGTGCGGCAGGATGGCAGTCGCACGTGGGCAGACGCGTGCGCGTGTGTGTGTGCGTGTGTGTGTGTGTGTGTGCATGTGGGGAGTGGTAGTGTAGTGGTTAGCGCGCTGCGCTATGAACCTGGTGACCCGGGTTCGATTCCCACTCACGGCTAACACCAGTGACGATTATCTGAACCGGTCCTGGGCCTCCCCTAGGTCGACTCAGTCTTAAATGAGTACCTGGTGCGGTGTGTAAACATCGCCACTGGGGAGACAAAGGTGCTGGCCACCCACCCCCTCGTGTACCGTTCCGGCCTTCATAGGTGCTCGCTAACAGCACTTGCCCCAACAGTCTGTTAAGGCTATACAGGGAATCTTTTTTTTGTGTGCATGTGTGTGCGCGTGTGTGTGTGCATGTGTGCGTGTGCATGTGTGCGTGTGCACGTGTGCGTGTGCATGTGTGTGTGTGTGCATGTGTGGCGCAGGGGAGTGGCAGTGCAGCGTTTAGCGCTACGCTGCGCTACGAACCAAAGCGACCCGAGTTGGATTCCCGCTCACGGCCACCAACACCGGTGACGATTATCTGAACCGGTCCCTGGGCCTCCCCTAGGTCGACTCAGCCTCGAACGAGTACCTGGTGTGGTGTGTAAAATAATTTCCACTGGAGAGACAAAGGTGGTCAGGCGTGGTGCTTGGCCACTCATCCCCTCGTGTACCGTTCTGGCCTTCATAGGTGCTCGCACTTTCCCCAACAGTCTGTTAAGGCTATATGGGGGATCTTTGTATTTATGATCGGCAACACGAGCATATATATCTAATCTGTACATGATGAGGAAAAACCAATCGTAACAGAATACTAACCACAGGCCGGAAAACCATAAGTTTCACAAAACCGCAGTGAATAGCACTCAGCCTTTGTGCAAATTGCAAAGAAAAATAATCAATCAGCAGTTCCAGAAGAAGTGCATTGTGGTCCAGTTGTCTTCGGTCGCCATCAGAATTAATTTGAGTAAATGTCACCGACTTAAAGGCAGCGATAATGCCAAGATAAACAACTGTAGGCCAGTTTCATCATTGTTAGGACTCATCAGCACAGTATAATCACCAATTCTCACTGTTGCAAAGTCTGCTTCTGCACTTACATGGTTCGCAAAAGCACACTTTGCAGCAATGAGCATTGGTGACCGCTGTACTGACGAGACCTACTGAGGATGAAACTGATCGAGTTTTCCATCACTGCATCACTGCTGCCTGCCAGTCGGTTACATTTACTCAAATACATCCTGATGATGACCATCAACAAGAGGACCAACAAGGCAGTTCTTCTGGAACTGCTGACGTTTTTTTTTTATCTTGATTTGAAGCTTTCGTGACTGCAGGAATCCATACTCTTTGGTTCTTTCGGTAAAGTCACGTAGGTGTAAAATTAAATAAATCACGACGTTTCGGGCGCAACACAAGCGTCCGTCATCAGGTGGGAAAGCATGGTCTGCTGCTACGGCAGACTGTTTTGTAAGGTTATAAAGAAGTGGCCGGGGCTGGTGACGTTAATGTGAGAAATTATCATGTAACTGTAAGATAGGAGGACAGCGGCCTCCTCGACTTAGGCACGGAAGTGGCTATGTTAATGTGAGAGATTAGCATGATGTTAATGTGCATCATGCACGAGGGCTGAGAGCTATTACCTTTGCTTTTGTTTGTTGCTTGAAACAAAGTGGAGGAAAATTAAAACCTCCCACGTGTCCTTTGCACGTTGCGCCACGTGTTGTACGGCACGATGTCCGACGTTCCGCTTCAAGTGCTTAGAGCTTCTTCAGGAAGTCAATTGAGGCGGCCGCTCTCCCCCCCTCTCTCTCTCGCTGGATTCATTAGCAAACTGGCCGCTGGTGTTGCTGATTGCACATCAAAGAGCTCTGCAGCGCGACCGCTAAAAGCAACCTACGTCGTTGTAAACATCTTTAATGCCGAGCCAACAAAAACACACGCACATTCGCATCTGCACCTTCACACAGCCCGCCATAGCCGTGAACAGTTCCCAATATGATTCTGCCAGTTAATTAAAAAAAATGGCCAAAGGTAACCGTGATGAAGTTTAGCAGTGAATAAGCCTCCACATTATTTAAATCTGAGAAGAGGTTTTCCCCTTTTGTCTGGCAACAAAACAGCTGTGTTAAGATGCTAAAACACCAAACTGAAACCTTTTACAAGGAATCATGTCTGCATTAACCACAATACTTGTGGTCAGAATGCAAACAAAACACGTACTCTGATAATGTATGCATTGTCTTTGAAACGGATTTGGTCCACACCAGAAACAGCTTTCTTTCGAGCCTAGTCTCTAAACGGTGTTAGACCAGAGGACGCCAAAAGGCGTACAACACAAAGACAATGCACTATCAGCGTAATGAGCCGCGTGTAACGCTGCGTGTTTACTGGGATTCAATATGACTTCATTTGAAAGATGGAAAAAAAAAGATCTGCTGCAGCAGGAGCGGCCGGAAGCACTCGGCCCTGCAGACGTCTAAGATGAAAAACTCCGCGGCACAACCGGCCGTGTGACCACGCCTTGTGACCACCTCATCAAATCGCGCAGCTCCGTAACCCGACTCGGGTTTGAAACCCCTGCTGGCACGCAACGACAGTCGAAGCAATGCTAGCCGTGCTTGCTCCTGTCCTAGTAGCCTTCTATCAGAAGTTTCCGTTCGCTTCCCCCGCCCCCGCCCAACGGCATACATCACACCTGTGCTTATATCCAGCTGCCACCGCAACCACCAGGTTCTGTGACGTCACCCCGTGAGAGATAAACGGGCGTCTGGGCGAGGTCGCTCGCTCCCCCGTCGCGAGAGTTTAGCGTCGCCCCCCCCCCTACTCCCCCCGTGCCGCCCCGGACAGAAGCGAGTGGCGCTTACAGGCTGAATGACTCCTTCCACTGCGGGTCGAGCGTGTGCGGCTTGACCTCCGTGGCCTGGATGAACTTGGCGGGCAGCACCTCCTTGATGCTGGGCGTGCGCTTGTCGGAGCGCCGGCGCAGGCTGAACTTCCTCTCCTTCTTCTCCTCGGCCACCTCGCGCGGCGAATCCTTGCTGCCCGGCATGATGCCAAGCATGCAGTACGGGTCGCTGAATCCTGGGCGGAGAGAGGGGGCGGTGGAGTTGGAAGGGGGGGTTGTCGCAGAGTTCGATTCCCGCTCACAGCCAACACCAGTGATGAATTTCTGTATCGGTCCTGGGCATCCCCTAGGTCGACTCAGCCTCAAATGAGTACCTGGTGCGATGTATAAACATCGCCACTGGGGAGACAAAGGCGGCTGGGCGTGGTGTTGGCCATCCACCCCCCTCGTGTGCTGTGCCGGCCTTCATAGGTGCTCGCTTACAGCACTTGCTACTACAGTCTGTTACAGCTATACGGGGGATCTTTGTCTTTGTAGATGTCATGGGTCAAGGCTTGCTCCTGGGATCGCCACCACTGGCAGTGTTGTGCACAAGTAAAGCAAATCACAAGCTCAGGGCTCCTAAGGGGCAGTCCATAAATGACGTCACGCAACTAGGGGGGGGGGGTCAGAAATTTGTGACGATGTGTGACGAGGGGGGGTGTGGGTGAGAAATGTGACGTCCCATCAAAATGCGCAACTTTAAATAAATATAGACAACACGTTCTACTTAATTCAATAGACTTTTTAATAAATGTTTTCTCCGACAACATCAGAGTGCAGCATCACATTAAATACGCACTACAATGACAATAGTTTAAAGCGATTTGAAGCATGTTTTATTTTTTTCGGGGGGGGGGGGGGCAAAGGATTGTGACGTCTTATTTGAGGGGGGGTCTGACTCTTTGTGACGCCGTGTGACGAAGGGGGGGGGGGGAGTCAAAAATCGTCCAAAATCGCGTGACGTCATTTATGGACGGCCCCTAAGCAGCTTCAAAGGGAAGCCACCTGAAAAAGTAGGAGCACATGAAACATCAGTTCAAATTCAGATCCCAATAATGTAGCGAGCCGATTAGCATAAAGGGCCAATTGATTTAGCTCTCTGTCATCTCTACGTTGTCTACGTTTCTCATCTCTCGCAATACATCTCTGGGGACATGCTTTGATCGGCCCGGCACTGCCCGCATCCGATTTGTAACCGGCGCGAAACCGCAGCGTGAGCATGCGACGGGCTGACGGTCAACTCACCATCGGGGTCTTTGGACATCAATCCTTTAGCCTCCACCACGGTGACCTTGAGCACTTGCACGGGCGGCTTGACAAAACAACACGAGTCACTTCACAAGAATCGCTAGGCAACACCATCACGATCATCATCATCATCATCAGATCATCATGACTTACAACAGGGGGACACAATGGTTGGGGTGAAAGGGGCGACGTAGTGCTTAGGCACACGACTCAATAGCCACTGCGAGCTGACGCTTGATTTGATTCTCGGCCATAGCTAACAACAGCGCAGAGTGAAATCTTAACTGGTCCTGCAACCTCCCCCCCACACCCCGTTGACCACTCAGCAACATTCATTTGCTTGATACAGCTGTCGTGGCTGTGACGGTTCCACCTGAAGACGGAAGCTTGTGTTGCCTCCGAAACGTCGTGATTTTTTTATTTTATTTTATTTTACTTTTATTAATTTTAATGTTTTACCTACGTGACTTACCGAAAAAAACCTAAGAATATGAATCCTTGCAGTCACGAAAGCTTCAAATCTAGAACTCAGCAACAACACTGCCCCGCTTTGATAATTCACTGGCAGCGTCTCAGACATCCGCCAGGCTACTTCATGCGGCCGCCCGCTGGGCTCGCTCGCCAGCCTCCACTCATTCGACATCGCCGATCCATTCCCGGCCACGTGAAAGGAGGAGAAGATCTAGGCGTGACCATCTACAGAAACGTCCACGGTCATCCACGCTGGGACTTACTCAAGCACCTCTATCAACAACCAGGGATTATATTCTTGCTTCTTTCGGTAAAGTCACGTAGAAGGGAAATAATAAAATAATAAAAATAATTAAAAGTGGTCACTTTAAAAAAAAAAATCTTGCTGTGGTTTTCACACCTGATGATGATTGCTTGTGTTGCAATCGAAACGTCGTGAGAATTTAATTGTTTTATTTTTATTATTTGAATATTTCCCTTCTACTTGACTTAACCGAAAGAATCCCTGCAGTCACGAAAACTTTAAATCGAAACCAGGGCTTAGGTTTCTCACTGAACGTTTTACAAATCGACGGTAAGGACTGACAACGTTGGACACGTTGCCCGTCTTGACGCGCAAACTGCAGCATAGTTGCGCACCTCAGTTGGGGCGGTTGACGTTCGAAGGTGGACCGCGACCCTCGAAAGAACCCCCGTGTGGTCACGCCCGCGATCCGTCGATCAACCAAATCGCTCGAGACACCGGTACCGGCAGTACGGCAGCAAGAGCAGTTTTTTGTGAATGCCGTCGCATGACGTCACACGTTTAGGCGCAAAGGCCCTTCGCTGACTATGCGTGGTGATTGGTGGATCAATTGGTAAGAGTGGGGGGGGGGGTAGGTGGCTCGTGAATGGTAGCCACAGCTATGGGGAGAGGTGGAAGTGCACGCGTGTTATCGCAAGGGCAATGCTTCCTTACTTTGGCTTCTTTGACTTTCTCCATCAGGGCTTCATGATCCATTTGGCTCAGGTTGAACACCTGTTACAAAAGGCAAGTGACACGAGCATACATTTAAAATAGATCGTTACGATAAATTAATGGATAGGCAAATAAATATATCCACTATGCAAAAACAACGAAAAAATTGCCACACTATCTACGATAAACAATACAAACAGATTTCGAAATGAAAGGGCTCCATATGAAGTAATGAGTGAGGACATCACATGTGATTCTAAGGGTTAACACTCTTACTGAACGGTTTTCATACTTCAAAGATTTAGATTTTGACTATTTAAAATCCAAATTAAGCAAAAATGGTGAAATTCGAGAACACACCTAAACCTTTGATCTATGGCGGTGGTGCCCTACAAATGCTGCACAACGCCTGACGGGGTTTATTTTTTTATTTAACCTTTATTTTTTATTTAACCTTTATTTCTTATTTAACCTTTATTTATAAACAAGACCGACTGAACCGCCGACAAACTGCATCTCAAGCAGCGCGAGTTCAAACCCCTCCGACGTGGTTTTTCGGGTCGTGCCGCGAACCGGTTGTTTCGCTCCGTAAACACGCCCCGGAGCTTGTATCGGAATTGTGCTTGGTTCCCGAACAAGCTCTCGGCGCGCGGAAGTGAAACGTCGGACACCGTGCCGAACGACGTACAGCCGGCGCGACCGCGGGGAGCCTGAGCGGTCAAACGCGAGCGAGAGTTCAAACGACGGTAAGTCCGTCCTCGCTTAATGTGCGTCGGCGTTCGTACTACGACGCTTTCTCGTTGTAACGCGATTCTTCCATTCGAGAATACTTTTCGCACAACGCGGGAACGCGCTCACCGTCACAACGCGGGAACGCGCACCCCGTTACGACGCGCTTTCTGAGCGGTCGACACCGAACTACTTTCTTGAGCTGCGCGGCTGAGCAGTTTCAGTGATTTGCCCCGCCATCTGTGTGCGCGTAGCAGTAGTACATCGTATCTCGGCAAACTTAATCATTGCATTATTTATGGGAAAACTGTTTTTGCTTCACGTCTTTATCGCTTAACGCAGCACTTTTCAGAAACGCATCTACCGCGTTGAGTGAGGACTTACTGTCCTCTATTCCCGAACCATTCTGAGCCTCCTTATAAATGGTGTGACTATGTACGATTGTGGTTATAAATAGCACACATCTGATTATTCACAAATTAATTCATTCAAATGGATTTCCTTTCATTTCATTACGTAGGAATTGTAAAACTAAATCAATTTGATTTGTACAAAATGTATGCGACGAAGGTTGTCCTTTTAGATCGGCGATCAGGCAGATATGAGACAGCACAAATGAGACAGACGGAAACCAGGGACGCAAACATTTAAATGCGACACAAGACAGCGTTCGCTGTCGTGCAGAACAGATGAGACAGGACACACAACAGACAGGCACAGACCGTACGAATGAGAGAGACGAGACCGACGGTATGAGCTAGCCAGACATCGCAGACGAGACGGCACAAACAACACAGAATCGCGTCCAGATTCAAATCACGGTGGGATTGCGAAGAGTTGCTTGCTCAGTAAACAGTGTTGTTAGGCTCACGTACAATGCTATTGGTAATGAGTAATAGTGAGATGCTAGTGCAAGGGTGAGGAACACACGCCCCATGGGTTGATAAGGCCCCCCCGAGTTCATCTTATACGAAGCAAAGCATCTTAGCCACCCTAATTGGGTTCGAGAGGGGAACGATTTTTGACCTGGCAACACCGTGCTTCTAATTTTAACCCCGCTTTCAAGTCACTGACGTCACTGCAAGGGGCCTCTTGCGGTGACAGAAACGACTGAGGCAGAGGTCGCAAACGGGTTTTGATTCCTTACCCGTACCCGTACGCGGCCGCACCAGGGTCGCAAATGGGTACCTGTACCCGTACCCGGCCGGGTACGGGTACCCGTACGCTACCCGTACCCGTACCCTACCCGAAATGAGTGACAAACGGCTACTCACCAGTGACTCACGGCCTACCCGTACCCGTACCCTGCCGCACCAGGGTCGCAAATGGGTACCCGTACCCGGCCGGGTACGGGTAGCTGGGTATCGGGTAGGGTACGGGTATCGGGTACCCGGTTGCGACCTCTGGACTGAGGTGACTGCTCATGTGTGGGCCGCCCAAAGGGTCGCTCCGGTTTCCACCAACATGGATAAGGACTCATGAATTTCCTGAAAACATCTGAATATCTAGAGGAGTGCAGAGCTTGGGCAATTGTTGGCACCGACTCACACCGCCTGGCTGCTGCCTTTCCGGCTTGTCTGTGGCTCCTCGGCGATTGCGAGATGCAATTTGCATGAACGCTGTACAAAACTACACGTCATTATTATTATTATTCATCATTGTTGTTTAACGAGTAGAAAGTCCAGAGACGTGGGTCCTCGAGCAGGTTCGGGAGGCGAGAAGTCTGGTCGGAACAATCGAAAACGGGTGGAATATATGGATTTGTCACGATGTCTCAAAATAAGAAAATCTCGACGACGGATGTTTCTGGAAGGAAGTTCAAATTTGGGAAAGGGGCCAAGCAGCGGTGAGAAAAAAAACACACACTGCCGCTCGACAACTCAACGGAGCGGGGGGTGAGGCCGTGTACAGTTCTGTTCTATTCTTGCGCACGATGGCGAAAGGGGTTCGTTCGGGAGCCAAAATGTCAATGTCGACGTCTGCTGGCCACGACAAGGGGACCTCAGCAGAGGGTTACATTGAGAAACGCGCGTTTAGATGATTTGGCTGCTGTCAATTTCCACGTGGTAAGCCGCTTCGTTGAGCTATCATTCGCGGGCAGTTCGCTACTAAAAAATAAGCTAATAGCTCGGTGGGCTTTACTTGGTAAAAAGATTTTTAAAAAATGATTTGCTTACCTTCCTACACTTTGCACTTCTATCGTGTTTTTGTATCGGTTGTTGTTGTAACTTTCTGACCTGCCCCTACTGGACATCTGTGAAAAAGAGCTTTATTATAGGCCATCGAATTCCTCCTGCAATATAAATAACGATTCTGATACAGTGACATGAAGAAGAGGCCCCAAGACCGCACAGGATCGAGGGAGTTTGAGCCAGAGAGACTGCCGACGGCCACAGCGCGTATGTCCGCTGAACTTCTTTCGCGCCGTACGTAGCCAACCGCGCTAATCGAAGGTGCAGGACTAAAGCGGGAAACGTTTCCCCCGCCCCGTGTCCCCCCGGTGAGCGGTTGGCGATGCGTGAGAGAGATGTCTGGCGCGATGATTTAACTGCGACCCCCGCACGTGAGCCCAACCCATCGCTGACCCGCTTGAGGTATCCGTAGAGCTCGTAGTCCTCGTTGACGTAGTCCTCCGTGGTCTCGCCGCTCCGGTGCATGATGGTGTAAAGGGCCTCCTCGTACAGGTTGTCCAGCTGCACGCAGGACGGGACGCGTGGGGCGTGTGTCTGTGTGAGCTTGTGTCTGTGTGAGCTTGTGTGTGTCCGTGTGTGAGCTTGAGTCTGATTGAGATTGTGTGTGTCTGTGTGTGGGCTTGGGTCTGATTGAGATTGTGTGTGTCCGTGTGTGAGCTTGTGTCTGTGTGAGCTTGTGTGTGCCTGTGTGGGAGCTTGTGTCTTTGTGAGCTTGTGTCTGTCCGTAGTGTGAGCTTGGCTCTGTGTGAGCTTGTGTGTTTGTCCGTGTGTGAGCTTGGGTCTGTGTGAGCTTGGGTCTGATTGAGATTGTGTGTGTCTGTGTGTACTTGTGTTTGTCTGTGTGAGCTTGCGTGTCTGTGAGGTTGTGTGTGTCTATGTCTACGTGTGAATGCCTATGCGTGTCTATGTCAGTGCCTTTCTGTGTGTCTATCTGAATGCCTGTGTGTGTGTCCGTGTGAGTACCTGTAAGTGTTTGTCTATTTAAGTGACTGTATGTATCTGTGCGGGTGCCGGTGTGTGTGATTGTGAGCTTGTGTGTTGCGTACGTATGTGAGCGCTGGTCTGTGTCTATGATCTTCGGTATCTATCTTGTGCAGCTATGCACTTTTAAATCTAAATTGAAAACTAATTTCTTTGGAACTGCTTTTGCGTTTAGTTTGTTGTCCTTCCCCTGCATCTCCGATTTGCACATTTGGCTACGTACTGTGTGTAGCTGTGTAGCTGGGGCCTGGTAGCGTAGCGGTTAGCACCCTGTGCTACAAACCCAGTGGCCCTAGTTGGATTCCCTGTCACGGCCAACACCAAGTGACGATTATCTGAACCAGTCCTGGACCTCCCCTAGGTCCACTCAGCTCGGTGTGAAGTATAAACCTCAGCACCGGGGGAGACAAATGCAGCCGGGTGTGTTCCTACCCACCCACGCCCCTCGTGTGCCGTGCCGGGCTTCATAGGTGCTCGCTAACAGCACTTGCCCCAACAGGCTGTTAAGTCGATACGGGTAGTCTTGGTCTTTGTATGTGTTGTATGTATGTGCGTACGTATGTACGAGTCACTCGCACCTCACGCTTGGAAAGCTTAACGTTCTCCATCAATTTGCCCTGAACGGGAGCTTCTTCCAGCAGTGGAGCACTTACTGTGCATTCCTGAGGAAAAGGAAAACAAACACGATTTTTAGAGTTGCATAAATTCCTGCTCGTACGCTTCTGTGGTTGGGGCTGGTAGAGTACTCAGACACACTCTGAGGTGCTGTGAATGTCTATCCCGCACCTTCCAGAAGCACAGTTGGCTACGTATGGTTCTATCGAAGTCCGACATACATACAGATGTAGTGTAATAGCGCTGGCTGGTGGACAGCAGCGGCAACTGCAGTGGACAGACAGTGCGCACGCCGGTGAGCGTGAGCACGGTGTGTGTTGGCAGAGCGGAGGAACTGGGGCAAGGGTCACGGAGGACCCCATCTGGAGGCCCCTGGAACCTGCTGGTGGGTTCGAGAAGGGAGGCGCGGTCCGGGCGGAGCCAGGCCGCGCTGGGAGCATAAAAGGAGCGGAGAGCGGGGGGCTCGAGGCTGCTGGATCTGGGAGCGAGCTCGTCTCGTCATTGCTATCGTCTCGTCACCGTCGTCGCTAAACATCTCCGCTAGTGTTAGAGTGTGCGGACGAGACCGTGAAAGTTGTTAATAAAGAAAGTGCCTCCTAGAAACTCTGTCTCTGAATCGTTGACACTCCACATACATGGGTTCAGCAGCAGCATGTTCGGGAGCCAAATGCCAGTGTCGAAGTCTGCGGGCCACGAAGATGGAAATTGAGGAGAGGGTACTCGTGTAGTTTTGCTATTCCTCCTCCGCTGAAGGAGCGCCGACTATGGCGGTTTACTAAATGGGTCCAAAGTTTGGGTTGCGTGGCCACAATCGCGCCACTGCGGCTCGTGTCTTTCATTTTCAGTTTGTGACGGTGATGCGCGCATCGGCCTGTTCATGGTTCCACGAGTAGGATGCGATGCGTGGGTCTCGATTAAGGTATTCTTTCCGGTCGTACCTTTACAGGCAGCCATCAACTACAGGTCCAACGTCCAACTTCTTCCGGGTTAAAGTTGAATGCATTCCGGCAAATCGGAACGAAGGGACGTTTGGGTTTTACGACGAGCACGCGGGTGAGTGCACGCTCGCAGCTCTCTGGATCGTTTCCGGAAAGTTCGCCAGCCGAAGAAAGTTTTTACTCGAAACTGCCGTTGACGCGAAAATGATCTTATTCAATTGTTGGGAAGGTGTTCCATATTAAAAACATAATCAAAAGGGTTTTCTATGTTTTTGTGTATCGTTTTTAATTGTACCTCTGCTGTATTTTAATTCGTTGTGACCGGGGCTATGTTATGTACTTGCTAGATGAGATTTCTAAGCAATGATGGCGTGTTTATTTACTTCTACTTTTCCTGTTAAACAAGCTTCCATGAAAAAAATACATATATTTAATTGCTTGCCAAAAATGAGAGAAAACTGCTGGCCATGACCACACTAACTAAAAATTGGTAATGACAATCGCATGGCACTTTCCTGAAACCCCTGCAGTGACATTCTCGGCCAATTAATTTCAACTCATCTTCTGCATGTGGGAGGAAACCCGAATGCTGTACCTAAATAAAATGCATGTGTACTAGAAATCTCTCAAAATTCCACACAGATGGCTTCACAAACCCCTAAGTTGCTCTTATCCAATCTATTAGCACCTATTAAGGCATAGCACAACGAGGAGGAGGTGGTGGTGGTGGGACCGGCACTACCTGGATCTGGAAGCCAATTCACCCCTCTCTCTGTGTAGGCACGCCACCTCTGATCCTGCCCGTCCGTTCCAATGCGATCGGCGTTTTGTTATATTTAGCCACAGTATTAAGTCTAGATTTGAAGCTTTCGTGACTGCAAGGATTCATACTCTTAGGTCTTAAGTCTAGCCGACGACAACCTGTGGAGTTTCAGCCGAGTCTTAGCCCGCAAATTCCATGCAGCAATTCCCGTAGTCGCGTCGGCTTAAGCAGTCAAACGCTCTCAGCTGCTCAACGTTGGTGCGAGGGGAACGCAATTCCCCTCACACATTTTTTTGTCGGGTCAGCCAATCGGTAAAGTCAGTAAATATTTTAATAAACGCGCTTATATGCAGTCAATCAATGTGTTCGGTCTTCCTCACCGTGCCATTGTCTCGTGTAAATTTCCTCAGTCTGTGTCTATCATTCAGACGAGTTAGTATTGTCTGGTCATCATCAAGCATGCTAAGAAGAGGAGGGGCAAAACTGTATTAGGGGGGGCCACCGATCCGAAGCCCTTTGCACCAGGGCCTGTGCTCTCATGCTAGGCCGCTGTAATAGAGGGTTGCTACCTCGCACGTAAGCGCACGAGGGCACGGACACACACTGGAGAAAAAAAGGTGAAAACTTGCCAACAAATCTGGGTTCCTGTACTGATCCAAAATGCTGCCGAATCTTTCAAAGAACCCCTGGTCTGCTTTCACCTCCCTGCAAAACAACAGAGAGACGCGAAAAACACATTAGCGCTTTAATCCATTAATATAAAGTAAACCCTGTTAAGACTTTAACTTTGTCATTATACCTCCTTTCCCGTCAAGATATTCATCTCTGCCCTTTCAAGTGCCCTTCTTTCTTCTCTCTGCCTTAGTGCCCGTGTCTCTGAGCCACGTGACAGCACCGGTCGTTTCGCCGTTATATAATTGACCCGGTCATATATTTTTCAAAAAATGAGATTGAAATTCCTGCTAATCTCCGCAGGGCATGATTACCAAGGCTTTCCTTCGACCGTGAACATTGCGACATAAACATTTATGAGCCGTACGACATCAATCCCAAGAGCAGGTCATTGTGTTTAAGGATTCCGTAGCTTAACATCACCGGTAATAGTTCGGCGGAGTGGTAGCGCAGTGATGACAGCGTGCTGATTCTCGTGGACCTGGCCACCCGAGTTGGATTCCCGTCCATGGCTAATCAGTATTTGCCGAGTGAATATCTGAAGCGTCCCCTTCCCCAAGCCGCAATGACGAGCATGGTGAAGTGCGCTCAAGCAAAAACAAACGTCGATTCATTATTATTCTTTTCTTCTGGGTTAGATCTTTGTGTAAGTATAATGGCATTTTTACAGGTAAGGAACAACAGTTCCACATTGCCCACCAGGGATTATTTGTCTGTCGATCGTGCATAGCCACACCCTCGATTTGTATTTCATAGAGCGCTTAGGGCGGGCTCAGCACCACGTGACGCGCCGCCCCACGCAGCTTGCGCCACGTGACACAGATCGCACGAATGCGCTGTCCAACCAAGTTCTTACCTGCCCACTCCGAAGGAACGTGTTTTTACTGCAGTATATCCCTCCACCACCTGATAGAACCAATAAAATCAAGTTGTCACTGTGCCAATTGATTTGGTTATCAGCAACAAACAGAATGTTGAAAAGGCAGCAAATGCCATGTCAATTGTTGCCATGAGCAATATAGGTAACAGCAAATATTTGCAGAACTCAGATAATATTAGGGTGTCTCCAGATATAACCAAACAGTTGAATCTATCAGCCTGTTGGCTTTCCAACCGAATATTTTTCAAGCTGCATTTGTTTAAGCAAGAAAGCCTGACTGCTGATGAGAGCCAGACGGTCGAAACCATTTGAGAGTTTGCTTGCTTAAACAAATGCTGCTTAGAAATATGGGTCTGAAAAGCTAATAGGCTAAGACTAATATATATATTTTTAACATGTGATAATGAAAGTCAAAATCACGATGATTTCTTAATTTCCTGCTCAACTAAGCATCGAGGGAGTGCTCATCTGCTGACAGAAAAGAGTTGGTGGTGGAAATTGCACATTCCTCTGTCGGGGCGTGGGGGGGGGGGGGAGTCTATCCACATGACAACCACAGTTGACTTCCCCCGAAAGTCGGTACCAATTTTATTGACCCAAGCGGGACGATGGGACTTAGCCGACCCCTCTTCAGGATTCGAACTGACAACTTGATTGTGATTTCATGTGTGCGAGTCAGCCCTACGGCTCCACTGTGCAGTCACAATGGATATGACGACGATGATGATGATGGTGAAGAATCTTCTTGGTTCTTTCAGTAAAGTCACGTAGAAGGAAAATAATAAAATAATAAAAATAAAACAATAAAATAATTCTCACGACGTTTCGGCCACAACGCAAGCAGCCGTCCTCAGGTGAAGACCAGGTCTTCTCCCCGACAGAATCCCTGCAGTCACGAAAACTTTAAATCGAGATGGTGAAGAAGTTAACGATGATGATGATGACGAGTCAAACCCGAACCAGAACTTGAACTCGCAAGCTTTCGATTGCGAGCTGCTCGCCCCTTCCAACCGCCACGTGGCCGGATAAATGACACAGGCGAATTCATCCATTTGCCTCGTTGATTTTACGCCGAGATCCTTGGTGGCGATGCCTTGAGGGAGTATGTCCCGCCACGCAGCCTGGCACGGCGCTGGTTTTGGTCGCCAAATGAGTAATGGCTTCGTGCAACAGGGAGACACACACACACGCGCGAGAGAACTGCAAGCCACAAGCCAGCCAAGCCTTCCCCCTCCCTCCCTCCCCCCCTTGCCTTCCTCCTCGCGGGAGAAGCACTTGTTGATTCTCGCTGTCAAACGCTTCCCATTACGACTGTGCTAGAATATCGGGCAGGCAGGTGCCAAAAAACGCCACTCTCTCCCGACAATGCCAGTGTTGTGATTCATACGATCGCCCACACAAAAGGCACCGTCGAGTGTAAAATGCTCATTTTCAGGAATATCCTACTCGGGGGTATTTCGTCAAATTATTCATCTCTTTTTTGTTTTGTTCATTAGAGATGCTGCCGTAGTACAATGGTTTGGCACACTGGAATTGAAATGCAGAGGGCGGCCTATTCAATGTTCAATCTCCCGGCAACGGCAGTTGAAACAATGGGCGAGATTTTTTTAAAACCATCCACCCTCCACCGTGCACCACAGTTAGTCGATGATCGGTAGGTGGCGTGTGCTGGGGTAAAGTGTGGGTATTCCCACCTCCTTTTGGTGTGCCGCGGTGGCGAGATGTTAAGGACCTCGCCCGGTATACAGGACGTCGTGGGTTCGATCTCCGGGTTCTTCCCTCCACGTTTAGAATCAACGTGCGTTTAGAGTATTTGGCTGCAAAATACATTTCCACGCGATGGGGCGCTTTGTTGAGCTATCATCTGTGGCCAGGTCGTTTCTGAAAAAAGAGCTATGCAGCTCAGTTGGGCCTTTCCTGGTAAAATAAAAATTGTTCATAAATAGTTTAGTTTTTTTCCAAGATGTCCCATCAGTGCGAATGAGTAGGTCAAACACCCTCTATCGGGGGGCTTTCGATAGCCCCCTCCAAGTGGAGGCCTTTCCGCGAGCGTTGCCATGAGCAATTGCGAGGCTGCACTTGCACCTTTAACTTGACCTTTTAAAATGTTTACGTCGGAATGCACGGAGGAAGAATTTACGCGCTGAAAAGAGAAGAACAACACTTTGCACGGACAGTTCAGGAAGCCCTGCTAACGAGTCGTGGCCAATTCTAAAGCAGCGCCAGGACGTGGCATCGACGTTACCATCGCCACCGCCGTGGCTGTTGCGCTGATTATCATCGCGGGGTTAACCCCTGCCATTCTGGATCCAGTCCTAAGCTTCAGGAGCCCTTCCTCATCAAGCGGCGGCGAACTCGCCAGGGAAAAAAACAAGTGCTGTCCATCGTATATTGCTCGCTTTCTGGAAGCGAGCAATATGTGATGAGAAAACAAAGGCGCAGCTCTGCGATTTTTTTTGCTTATGCCACTACTGGGAGAAAGGACCTCAACGAGAGGAAACTAGCTCGATCGAGCCCCTTACAGAGTGTGTTCATTTACTCTTCCACGCTGGGCCAGATGTCTTGGAAGAAGGGTGGCAGCACCCACACTTTACTCCACCACACGTGACCTGCAGTTCGACTAACAGTGGTCTACCCAATTATAATGCTGCGTGGACAAGAGGCATGGGATTTTAATAAACACGCACCACTGTTTCAACTGCCACACGTACGGATCGTATTGAGCCGGTGACCTCTGGGTCGCAAGTCCATTGTGCCAACCGTTGCACCACCGTGGCCGCATCCCCACGACTTTTCGAAAAGAAATGTCCCCGCTTAAAACAATCAGAAGACAAAGATCCCCCGTGTAGCCTTAGCATACTTTTGAGGCAAGTGCCGCTAGGGGCGAACCTATGAAGGCCGGCACGGCACAAGTGGGGGGTGAGTGGTCGGTTCCACGCCCGGCCGCCTTTGTCTCCCGAGCGGCGATGTTCACACACCGCAAAAGGCAGTCATTTGAGGCCGAGTCGACCGGTTAAAAAAAAAATCGTCACTGGTATCGACGGCCGTGAAGCAGGAATCGAACTCGGGTCGCCGGGTTCATTGCGCGGAGAGAGCCGCTAACCACCGCGCCACCTGAAAAATACGCACGCGCGCGCGCGCCCTCCCCCAGACGTCTGCGCACACACACACGCGCGTTGTGCTGCATCGACTTCCACCTGGTGAAACGGAGCTTTGATTGATCCGTATCGACCGCTTCTGTGTGAGACATTTAAGATAAGACGAGAGTGGGCTCCTTTAATGCATGCGGGTAATCCCTTGCAGGAAGTGACTGCTGCACTGGTCAACAATAGAGCAGGGGGGGGGGGGGGGCTTAATGAAAGGACAAAATAGCAGGTCAGGTGTGCGGCATCGACGGAATTCAGTTTTCATCCGCGATGTCAATAACTCACGGATGTAATGAGATTAAAGCTCGCGGAATCTGGAGAACCATCTCGCAATTTTGCGACCACGTGAGAGCAACAGGTTTTCAGAGGTAGCGTGATTGTGCGAGTGTAGTTGGCAATGGGGCGTGCATTCTATCGTAGTATTTACAGAGCGAGTGTATAGAGCACAACTCCATTCTGCGTCTCTATATTTAAACATGTCTTTCGTGCATCGACTTTTTAGACCAATATCAAGCAAAATGTATTTAAGCAAGAAAACTCTGAACCGGTTTAGAGCATCTGGGTCTCGTCGGTGCAGTCAGGCTTGTTTCTCAAACGCTGGTGGATTGCCAGATGTCATTGGCAAGAGCACACTCCATATATGCTATGTTCAATGCCAAACGCGATGAGTCTGTTGATAGCATATTTTGCGAGGAAAAATTGGGTCTCAACATTAGAGGGTAAAAAAAACGCAGCAAATATTAGATTATTTATTCAACCTTTATATATATTTAAATGCCCTATTGTAATTGAGAGCCAATTATAATGCACAATGAGGCAATATGGCTTTGCATTCAAGAATGTGATATGGTAAGCAGACAATATATCCCTCCGCATAAAAAAAATATTTTTTAAAAGTTTTTGTTTTTTTTCCACCATATTCTATCAGCCACACACGGCCCTCCTTCCGGGAGTGCATACACTCACCAGAATCGATTCAACATTCAGTGTCTCATCAGCAGAGCCAC